TCAGTGGATTAAAGCCTCTGCCTTCGGCTCAGGTCATGATCCCAGGGTCCTGGGATCGAGCCCCGCATCAGGCTCTCTGCTCGGCAGGGAGCCTGCTTCCTCCTCTCTCTCTCTCTCTGCCTGCCTCTCTGCCTACTTGTGATCTCTATCTGTCAAATAAAATAAAATCTTAAAAAAAAAAAAAGTGAGATGTAGGACTCTTCCTTTCACTTGGAGGCCATTGTAGGGTTATTACTTGGCCTAATTTTATTATTGTTTTGTCTCGGGGAATAGGGAGGTCGGAGGAGTGGGAGAGAGAGAAGGAACAGTACTGGTTAGTGGAACAGTCTAGAAGACACACAGCATTTATCAGGCAGGTTTGCCGTCTATGTGGGCGTAGTTCATGGTGCCCCAAAATGATCACAATAGTAACATCACAGATCACCATGAACCTACAAAGTAATGTAGATGTTTGAAATATTGTTGGAAACTACTAAACTGTGAGACAGACACATGGTGAGCCAGTGATCCCAAAAAACTGACAAGCTCCTAGAACTAACCGAATCTTAGATGGCAAGAAACAAGGTCAGTATACAAAAGAAAATCCTATTCCTGTATTCTAGCAAGGAATAATTAGAACTTAAAATAAGAAATACACTAAATTTATAGTAGCACTAAAAAAATAAAATGAATATTTGGTGTAAGTCCATGTATAGGACCTATATCTAACAACTACAAAGCCATAAAATACTTAAAAGTCAGAGAGGATCTAATTAGATATACTGTATTCAGGGATTCAAGAAATCACTTTTTTTTTTTTTTAAAGATTTTATTTATTTATTTGACAGAGATCACAAGTAGGCAGAGAGAAAGGAGGAAGCAGGCTCCCCGATGCGGGGCTCGATCCCAGGACCCTGAGATCATGACCTGAGCTGAAGGCAGCGGCTTAACCCACTGAGCCACCCAGGTGCCCCAAGATATCACTTTTTAAAAAAGATTTTATTTATTTATATGAGAGCACAAGCAGGGGAAGAGGCAGAGGGAGAAGCAGGCTCCTCGCTCAGTGGGGAGCCTAATGCAGGCTGTGATCCCTGGACCCCAAGATTATCACCTGAGCCACGCAGATACCCCTTAATATTCTTAATAAACCGTTAAGTTCTCCCAGTTTGTTCAACACAACCCCCAAATCCCAACAAGCTTTTTTGTCTAGACACTATTGTCAGGCTGATTCTAAAATTTGCATGGAAAGGCAAAGGATCTATAATTGCCAAAACATTTTTTTTAAAGAACAGACATACGATTTGTAGTACATGATTTCAAGGCTTATTCTAAAGGAACAGTAATCAAAACTGTAGTATTGGCAAAAGGACTGATACCTAGTTCAGGGGAACAGAAAACAGAGTCCAGAAATACACCCACTTGAATAGTCCACCGAGTTTGAACAAAGTTGCAAAGGCAACTTAGTGGAGAAAGAATCCTCTTTTCGACAATGGTGCACGGTGCTGGGAAGTGCACGTGCATACGTAACAGAATGAAGCCTAACACACCACGCACCTTATTAAAGACAAACTCAAAATGGATCATAGAACAAAATAAAATATAAAACCGTAAGACTTTTAGAAAAAAAATAGAGGAGTTCTATATTTTAGGTTGGAAAATATTAACTTTTAGATCATGACATCAAAAGTGTAATCCATCAAAGGAAAAGTTTTGTAAAAGCTGAACTTCATAGAAACTAAAAATATTTTCTCTGTGAAAGATATTAAGAAAATGAAAAGATAAATTACAGACTGGGAGAAAATATTCACAAATTACTTATCATAAAGAACTTGTATCCAGAATAAAGAATTCTTACAACTCTAAAAAAGTAAATCACTGGGGCGCCTGGGTGGCTCAGTGGGTTAAAGCCTCTGCCTTCGGCTCAGGTCATGATCTCAGGGTCCTGGGATAGAGCCCCGCATCGGGCTCTCTGCTCAGCAGGGAGCCTGCTTCTCTCTCTCTCTCTCTCTCTCTGCCTACTTGTGATCTCTCTCTCTCTGTCAAATAAATAAAATCTTTAAAAAAAAAAAAAGTAAATCACCCCAGCTTTAAGAAAATGGATAAATTGGGGCACCTGGGTGGCTCAGTGGGTTAAGCCTCTGCCTTCAGCTCAGGTCAGGTCATGATCCAGGGTCCTGGGATCAGGCCCTGCACCGGGCTCCCTGCTCAGTGGGGAGCCTGCTTCTCCCCCTCCCTCTGCCCCCTCGCCTGCTCATGCTCACGCGCACACGTTCCCTCTCTCAAATAAAATCTTCAAAACCAAAATAGGCCAGCTTAATTTAAAAAGCTGGCAGTACCAAGCGCTGATGGGGCTACACAGCAGCAGAAACACCTACTCACTGCTGGTGAGAATGCAGAACAAGAGGACTTGTTTTGGGACACGAACCAACCATCCACACTGACTTCTTACAAAGTTAAGCTTATGCTTCTCTTATGACCCAGCAGTCGCATTCCCGGGCATTCCAGCAAATGAGCGGCAGACAAAACCCATGTTGATAGCAGCTTCACTTACAATTGCCAAAGACTGGAAACAACCCAGATTCCTACAACAGAGGAGGGAAAAGCAGGTCCATCTCTGCGATGGCATACTACTGAGCACTGAGAAGGGAATAACCTCGTGAGTCCTGCGGCAGCACAGAGGAACCTTCTGTTTGCTTTTCTGTGTGTAAGAAGCCAGACCCAAAAGGTGATGTATTCTGCGCTTCCATTTATAGGATTCTGGGAAAGGCAAAATTAGTACAGAAAACAGGTCAGTGGTTGGGAATGGGGAAAGGCGTCAACCATGAAGGGGTCACACCAAGGGACTTTTAGGCGTTGAGATGGTCTGCTGTGGCACTGTGGTGGTGATTCATGAGTAAGCACTCCCCAAAACCCCAAGAACTGGACACGTGAGTGACTGGGGCTGTATGCACATTAAAGTCAGGTCAACGAGGATTTCGGAGGGATTCCCATTTAGAATGTTTACTGTGATAAGTGAATCTACCTGTATTATAAATATAGGACATTCCTCACTAGAAGGGGTGAATAAGAAAGGAGCTGATCTAGATAATCTAGCTGATCTAGATAACTTTGAAAAATGGTGTTCTGATAGGATCCTGTCAGGCTGAAGACAAAAAGAACTTACAGAAATTGCTAAATTTCACATAGTTCTGGTTTAGCAGCTCTCAAAGTACACTAATGAGAAGCATGTTTAAGTCAGAAAAAGCAGTTAAAAATAAGAAGTGTCAGGATTAACCTTGCGGAGCCGACTGGTGCCTGAGGCTTCTAAGAAACTCACGTTCACCTTCACGTCTAGACACCATGTGTGTGCACACACGCGGTGTAGACACTGAATTCCCTAGCTCCAGCCACCTAAAGGGCCATCTGTGCTCCCTGCAGAACTGTTGGATTCCAGAACTGGAGTGGGGAAAATGAAAGCGCCTGGAGCACCGAGAGCTGCCAGAGAGAAAGGAAGTTCTAAAAGAGAAATGGAAGAATGGGAGCAGGTCAGAAGGACATGAGCCAACCATCCACACTGATCTGAACAAATGAGTCAATCCGGGACTGGTGTTCCTTACAGAAGAATCCCGAGTCACAAATGGAGAAGTGAGGGAAACAGACTGTCACCATAAGCACACCGTAGGCAACACCCTGCAGAGGGCTAGACTGAGTGGGCAACACGCTCAACAGAAAGTTCCCCGCAGAGCCTCCAAGTCGCTCTCCCACAATACTTACTAATTACCGTTGCAGTTTCAACAGCTGCCCCTCATGTCTGGTCATCCTCCCTCCAAGAGGTGAAGCTTATATTCTACCTGGAGTGTGGGCAAGGCGTAGTGACCCAGCTTCTCAAAAACAGCACGGAGAGCGAAAAGCAGAACTTCACTGAGAAGAACGAGGTGAACTGTGCCTTCGACAGACAATCAGGAGTAGCTCACACTGAGATGTGACGAAAAGGGCGTGCGTCAGCACTGCGGGGTCCTTCCAAAAACCCAGCTCTCGTTCCGATCACGAGAAAACACCAGACAAACACAGATCATAAGACGTTCACAAAATATCTACCCAGTACTTCCCGAAAGTGTCAAAGTCAGCAAAGACAATGAAAGACTGAGACTCTGTCAGAGATCGCAAGAGACTGAGGAGACCTGACCGCCTAATGTGATGCAGCGTCCTGGAACAGAACGAGAAATCCCAGTGGAGGTCAGAGTGGTGGTCTGCAGCTTAGCGAACAGCACCGTTAGCAATGTTCATTTCCTAGTTCTGCTACGGGTCCACGATTCTGTAAGATCCTACTGGAGGGTCCTGGGGGAAGGGCATAGGCAGACTATGCACTATCTTTGCAACTCTTCTGCAAAACAAAAATTATCAAAGCTACAGAAGAAAAAAAAAAAACATACTGGCAACAGATTCTGAAATTCAAGTATTATTAAAAAGGACCCACACATGATTGAAGTTCATTGCTAGACGGGGATAAATGGTCCCCATTCAATACTGAAGTCTTCTCAATATCAAACAAAAACATCCTCAGGACAACAGAAATAGTAAATCGGACTGACTGGGCTCCATTCTTCCTCTTGGTGATGACGCCTAAGAATAATTCACTGTCTTTGGGTTGATGTTGACGTCTGTCAGAATACAGACCATTACTAACCTTATCTGAACTCTCTGAGCAAAGGGAGTGTAGGGAAGTTTTCCAAAAACTTCATATGAATGATAAAGGCCTATTCCCTGGCTTTAAAAGGAAATTCAAACCTATTATCTGAGCATCATGGAAAGGGAAGCTTTCTCAACAGCTGGCCAGGCAGGTCTCCTCCCTGGGAATAAGTCGATAGGAAGCAGCAAACAGAGGCTGAGGGCTCCTCTCCCCGCGAGCAGGACCTCTGTTTCCACCCACCACCGCTCCTGGAGAGGGAAGCGTGTGGTGTTCGCAGGTGACAGCTGCTGAAATTCTGCCTTACTCCCGTCACGGTCCACATTTCTGAAAGAAATTCTCTTCTTAAAATACACTTTTATTTCCACAACTGCTTAAAATATTTTATTAAAGAAGCAATGCAATTTAGCTAAAAATATTTATTTAAGGGGTAAACATAGTCATATATTTAAGGCACATGAAAAAGTTTTGGCATTAATTTGGCAAGAAAAAGAAATACAAATTATCCTGGTAAACTTTTGAGTTGATTTCATTAGTACAGTCTTTAAAACAAGGTTTCAAGAGCACCAATAACTGATCTCAGATAAGGCACAAAGTTCATGACTCGGCACCCCCATGCCTGAGCAGCTGCTGTCTGGTGTACTCCCAGATGAGCAGAGCCCCACTCACGTGGACATTCAGCGAGCGGATAATGCCCTGCTGAGGAATTTCCACACAAACATCCAACTGTTGGATTAGATTTGCCGGAATTCCCTCACGTTCATTTCTGGTGAAGAAAAATGGAAGAAGGTAGGTTAGTTTTCTTGTAATAAACACATTTTTTCCCCTCCGATAATCTGAATGTCCCTCAGTCAGATTAACAAAATAAAAAGTGAAGTCTGTGGCACCAGGGAAATAAGTAACACAGATTTATGGGTCAATCTGGGTTCACCCGATCATCCCAAAGAGGTGAAATAAAACAAAAACTAGGGGTTTTTCCATATACATTACAAGTCAAAACCCTTGATGTGGGTGTAACATCAGAAGTGTCGGTGAACTGTCACATTTCCTAAAGCTTTTTCTAGGCTGAGACTCAAACGAATCTTCTCACCCCAACAAGAGCAGAGATCTCTCCGGAAAGCTGTACTGAGTCAGGTCTACACTCTTAGCAGTTTGTTCCACACCAATGACGGTGTAACCTTCTGTTTTTTTCTGTTGCAGAAAATCGATGAGCTGAGGTGGTTTTACCTTAAAGTGAGTTTAACAAGAGCAGAATAATAAATTATTCATTTACAGCCTTACTCGGAGTAAAATCAGTTTCAAAAACACTTCTATGAAACTAAGTCTTTTTACAAGGAAAAGGAACTATAATTATAGCTGGGTGGCTCAGTCATTAAGCATCTGCCTTCAGCTCAGGTCATGATCTCAGGGTCCTGGGATCAAGCCCGACATCAGGCTCCCTGCTCAGCAGGGAGCCTGCTTCTCCCTCTCCCACTCCCCCTGCTTGTGTTCCTTCCCTTGCTCTCTCTGTCAAGTAAATAAGTAAAATCTTTAAGAAATAAAAAATTTAAGAAAAAAAAACCTCCCCAACATCAAATATATTTATAAAAAGTATTCCTGAGTTGCAACAGGATGTATTTTACAGAAAAGAATTCTGGGGGCACCTGGGTGGCTCAGTCGGTTAAGCGTCCACCTTCGGCTCAGGTCATGATCCCAGGGTCCTGAGATGGAGCCCCATTCTGGGCTTCCTGCTCAGTGAGGAGTCTGCTTCTCCCTCTCTTGCTCCCATTGGTTCTCTCAATCTCTCTCAAATAAATAAATAAAATCTTTAAAAAAAAAAAAGAATTCCAAAAATACAACAAAGTGAGAGATAATAAAAGGAATGGGGGAACAGAGAGGGTGTATTTTACTTTGAGTGTTAGTTTAAGCTACAATATAAAGTAGTGCAAAAGGACTAATACTTGAAGACAGAGAACCACAGAAGATTTCAGCAAATCAGCGTTTTACTAACAAATTACTTTCTACCCACCTCCACTAGAGGCAGCCACTGCTCTGCGGAGACGCTGAGGCCTTGGAACTGCTTGTCTCCGACGCACTGCAGGCTGCCCAGCACGAGGGCTGAGGCCCCAAACACCTCGCAGGTCCTGCACAGTCCTGCGCGCAAAGGGCGATGGTTACTGGTGGCAGTCCTCCCCCGGGCTCACTTTGGCCATGGATCCCCCCGACGCTCCCCAGCAGGGTTAAACGAGCAAAATGGCAATGGACTCAATACAAGTTTTCAGGATCGAAAGATTTTAAGCAAGCCCCCTGGAAAACTGTAATTTTACCTCCTAAATTAGTTGGTTTATCAATGAGCGAGGCCACTACAATCAGTCTGCTAATTGACTTTCCAAGCTTGGCAACTCGATCCTGAAATACTAGCTCCAGATCTAAATCTGGAGCATTATTTTTCCAGGGGATAATCTTCTTCTGAACATCCGTCCACTCAGACTGGCTATCTGCTTCGCCCGAGTGAGAACCTGAGAAGGAAAAGGAAATAATCCCATATATGAAAACCTATTTATTTATACACATACACACAGAGTTAAGAGTTGAAAATGATAGTTCAGAATGAGATTAACAAAAGAACTTTACTTGAATTCAGACACGACTGCTATTTTCAAAAGTAATTAAAAATTTTTTTTTAAGATTTTATTTATTCACTTGACAGCGAGAGCACGAGCAGGGGGAAGCAGCAGGCAGAGGGAGAGGGAGAAGCAGACTCCCCACTGAGCAAGGAGCCTGATGCAGGGCTTGATCCCAGGGCCCTGAAATCATGACCCGAGCTGAAGGCAGACGCTCAACTGAATGAGCCATGCAGGCGCTCCTTCAATAGTAATTTTAAATTTCCAAATTCAACTCTAACAACTAATATACTACAACATTTCATGAAAATAGAATATGTGCTTTTGTCTACATTTTAGCATATCCCAAATGGGAAGCATCTCAGACCTAGTTTGGTATGATTTTAGCATTTTTTTCTTAAAGGTCCATAAAGTAATGGTGTATCTTATACACAACAGTGTATTCCTGAAAACAAACATACACAGTCTTTATCCTAAATTATTTTACAAGTACTTAGGGGAATTTCCCTCAAATGAGTAATATGTCTAAGACTGATGAATCACAGACTTGTACCCCTGAAACAATACATTATATGTTAAAAATAAAATAAAATAAAATGATCAACTGTTAGAAAAATGATGACGCTCTCTGAGGCAATTATCCCTTAACCAATGCTACGAGTATGCAGAATGTTATTAACCTGTCTGATGCAGCGTCCTGTAGCACAGGACCGAGACTACCCTTCCAGGCTCTTCCTCAACGGCTCTACTCCAGACTGCTGACTGAGCCATCAGGGAGCACAGAGCTTACCTGGACGGACAAGACATGCAAATACCAGAACACGGGGCTGTAGCGAGGGATGTCATGTCTGTGGGAGGGAGGCTTGGGCAGAGAGAAAGATCCAGGAAGGCTCAGGGAGGAATGTGCAAACAACGAGTGTGGGAGGGCAGTGTAGACTGTAGGGACAGGTGTGCACGTGCACAGGGCATGGGAGGACCATGACCCGGGCAGTGACAGAACTCTGCTGTAGCTCACAGTGTGCCGTGGATGGAACATGATGGCCCAGAACATAAAAAGAGCATAAAAGACTTGTATGGAATGATAAAGAACTTACTCTGCAGGTAGGAGCCATTAAAGGGTTTTAAAAAGGGGGATAACAGTACTGGTTTTGTGTTTTAGGAAAAACCCCTCTTCAAAGTGAGGTGAGGATAAGTTGGGGCCTTTGCGCCAGTCCCAGCAAAGACAAAGTCTAAATTAAGCCCAGGCAAGAGCAGAAGCAGCCAGATCTGGGAGGCAGAATCACCCCAATTTGGTGACATGAATACGGCACAGGAGAATGACTTCTCTGGTGACCAAGTGGCACCACTGACGGAAGGGGTTATAGAGGAGGCAAGTGTGGGCAGCAAGGGAAATCCAGTTCAAATATGTTGAGTTTCAAGAGTTTCTGGGTATCTGTGCAATGTCCAGCAGGCTCAGGAAAGAGGCCAGACAGAGACAAAGATGAGAAGTTACATTATGTAGGTGGTGGTTTCAAGTTGGGGAAATTAACACAAATGCTCAGGGACAGCACACAGAATGAGGAGACCAGGCCAGTGAAAGCATCCAGGGGATACTAACACTGAAGTCTTCGCATAAAGATGGCACTGCAACACCCCCTCCTTTTTCCACCAAATAAAACAAAACAGAGACCCCCTCAGCCTTTTCCCCACCCGAGAGACACCTGGTTTCTCAGCTCCGCTCTGCGATCCAACGCAAACCAGCTGCCCATGTGTGTTGTTGTCCTCTCTCCTCCGTCTCTGCTCAGCCCGCCCCACTGGGGCCGTCCCCACCACACTGATGAAGTAGCTTTGTCACCACCTTCTGTCCCCGGATCTCCCTGTTTGAGGTACTCTGTTTTGGGAAAGCTCTCCCTCTGGATATTTGCTCAACTGCTCTCGCTTCACCGAGGTTCTACTCAGTGTCGGCTCCTGAGAAAGGGCTCTTTGATCCTCTGTCACTACCTCTATCCCGCTTTGTGTTTATGGTACCTTCTGTGCAGAAATGAGTATAAGCTGCCTAAGGGCAGGGAATTGGCCTTCTGTCCAGCACAGAGGAGGCAATAAGTCTTGACTGAAGGAATAAATAAATTTAAAGTGATTATGTCTTAAAATGTATTAGTGAACCATCCGGAGTATTTGATAAAAAATGCACTTTTCCGGAACTTTCCTCTACACACACTGAATTAAAATCTAAGTGTGTGTGGGGAGGGAGTCCCAAGTATCTGTTCTTTATACAAGTTGTCCAAAGAATTCTTGAAAACATTAAAATTTTAGAGCACTACAAGTATACAGGACAAAGACGAACCCCTAAAGAGGAGACAGGTCAGATGGAAGAGGAAAATCAGGACAGCAAGAAGCCAGCAGATCAATGCGCCTTACAGGGCAGATGTGCTTAGAGAAGAGCGCCCACTTAGGCTCTATGAAGGAGACAAAGACCGTTTCTGATTTTCTGAAAGATTCTTCGGTGGTTCTGGGTCAGGGAGAGCCAGAACGAGGGCCAAAGGAGTGGCCACAGCGAGGAGAATGGAAGCCCGCTGCTCCACAGCCATTAACACTTGCTGTGGTTTCCAGGACGGGTGGGAGAGCCGGTCCAGGGGTCACTGGATTGTGCGGGGGATGGGGAGGAGGTGAGCAGCTGACGGAAATGTGGGTCCTTCAGAAAGGCGAAGGGAAGCAGTGTCACAGAGGGTGCAGAAACAGGAGAAAGAAGGCCGAACAGATGAGTGAGGTCCAGCCTGACCCGCGGGGGACGAGAATCGAAAGCTCTGCTTTACTCCTAAATGGGCCAAGACATGAGATTTCATAATCGGACCCTTTTTAATTAACAGTAATATTTCAAGGAAAAGCGAAGTTACTAGCTTTATATAATAAAGCAGATTAGGCTCTCCTTGGCTTTTTATAGTGAAGCCAAGCAATTAAAAATACCAAAGTTGGGCGCCTGGGTGGCTCAGTGGGTTAAGCCGCTGCCTTCGGCTCAGGTCATGATCTCAGGGTCCTGGGATCGAGTCCCGCATCGGGCTCTCTGCTCAGCAGGGAGCCTGCTTCCCTCTCTCTCTCTGCCCGCCTCTCTGTCCACTTGTGATCTGTGTCTGTCAAATAAATAAATAAAATCTTAAAAAAAAAAAATACCAAAGTTATAGCACCTTTTTTCACAGTCTTTCCTCTAAGTGGAGGAGGAACAGACTTCAGCACATCAGTGAGAAGTGGTACGATCACCTCTCTGTTTTCAAGAACTGAAACAAGTAAGGCTAACCAAGTTAACAAGGGGAGAAAAAGAAAACACTTCTTTACCTACGTCCTGCTGAGCCCAGTCACCCGGTTTCAGTTCACAGAGGTGAGCCGGCGAAAGGTACCACTGAAATCCTGCATCTGAGGGGATGTCCGTGAATCTGGTAAATTTACCAATGGCAATCCATTCGTCTTCAACCAGGCCTGAAAGGCGTGGAAGGATGTAAAATATGGTCTGAAAAGAGAATTGTAAAATCTAAATTTTTTCCCCTTAAAAATAACAAAGAAATACATGGTAACATGTTTAAAGTACAACTTATTTACTCTTACTGATCTATTCTCCCAAACTATCACAGTGGCCATCTTACATACATTCATTTATATCTGGGAGGAACTGTCTGTCCACATTTCTCATCTTTTCTAAGCCATCGGGGGGTTAACTTAGGAAATGCTGAGGGCAGGCAGATCTACTCGGGTGTTTCTCACCGTATGTAATAAACCACTGCACTCTTGACAAAAACAAGAAGTGTTTTAGGACTGCTCAATGTTAATGTCGGGCAACACTTATCAGTGCCCGTTGCTGAAAACCGAACTCCTCCACAGACAATCAAGGTTCAGTTCTTTTTTTTTTTATTTATTTATTTATTTATTTATTTGTTTGTTTGTTTGTTTGTTTGTTTGTCAGAAAGAGAGAGAGAGAAAGCACACAAGCAGGCAGAGGCGGAGAGAGAAGCAGGCTCTCTGCTGAGCAAGGAGCCCGATGTGGGACTCAATCCCAGGACCCTGGGATCATGACCTGAGCCGAAGGCAGCGGCTTAACCCACTGAGCCACCCAGGCATCCAGAGGTTCAGCTCTTCTGATGCCAAATCTTTCCTCTGGCTACCATTAGACAAATTTGAATCTGAATGTTGTCTCGACCGTGTATTAGCTGTGACGTCAGCCAGACCACTTAGCCTCCCTTGGCTTCAACCTCATTTGTCACGAGGATACCATCAGGTTAAAGAGCCCCTCAAGGCTGTGTAAACCAGAGTGTGACACCGCTGGGCACGGTAACCGCCCAGTTACTACGTAGGCAATCCTGGCTTTTTCTTACCTACGAACCGAAACGGAACCAGAGACGAAGTCAGCGCAGGCGTGCACAGAACAGAAGCACAAGTAACAGGCGATTTAAAAACGACACAGAAAACGCGTGATGGGGCACATGTCCTCCCAATGGCCTCGGCAGTAAAGAATGGCTTTCTGCACACCGGCTCTAGGCGACAACCGGCACGCGATGCGGACGGGGCGGGAACGGCCCAGTGCAAATGCAGAGCAAGGCAGGGTTCTCTCGGGCCATCACGTTACCACCACGTGCAGCCACAGCTCCTGTCGCTGACAGAGGAGAAAACACCCAGAAGGGGGACGTGCGGCGTCGGGGACAGAGATGAAGCCAAAAGGGAAGAAGGGACTTAGTCCTGCTGAAGGATGGAACAGGAGGGGCTGACCTAACCCTAGAGACCTATTCCGAGTCCTTCAGAAAGGCGCCCAACAACGCATTCCGGGCGCAGAAGAACACGGAACAGAGCATGTTAAAATACCCGAAAAATAAAATCCTGCATTTTTGCAGTAAAGCAACACAAGTGCACAGAAACCCCACAGCGCAGGACCTTCTGTAGCAAATACCTCACAATACACAGACTGATATTCTTTTAAAAGGCCAGTTTCTGAGTAACTGACCCCCTGGATCGCGCCTGCATGGCAGGCTAACATTCCTGTGGAAAAGTCCCTGGTCATGTGTTTTAAATGCAAAGGCAGAACCTTACATTTAGAATCTAAAAAGGAAGAAAGTGATACGATTCACACAATCCTAATAATTTGTATATTAATTTGCAAGCTAATTGTACTAAACATGTTTATGGTTCTTAAAATTACACGAACACCCTGGGCTACGAGGAGGTGGTGTGCCATGACCTACACGATTCTCTCGTTGCCCAGAACCGAAACACTGCAAGTAACAAAAGAACAGATCGTTTCGCTTTCGTTAGCGACGGGCTTCATTACGACAAAGTCTCCCCTGCACAAATGTTCTCACTCACTTCCTATAAATGTCAGAACAGATTTCTGTTTAAATACTCCCCCTTCCAGGGTTTACGAGCCAGACGGCCTGAGAAACAGAAAGTGACAATGACTCGCCCATTTCCACTCCCTATGAGGGAAACGCAAGTCATTGGCGCGAAGGAACAAAATTAAACTTAGAACTTTACAACGTGAAGGTGATGCTGTAAGAGGAAAAAAAAATCGCTTAACTGTAACTTTCCAAGAACTGTGGCAGAAAGGAGGTGCCGGGATTAAAGACAGAGTCAAGAATTTACAGAGGACACTCTCCACTCACCTCCAGACAGTAATCCTGAACTGGGTGGAAATTGGCAAAAAAGAAATGCTCTTGGATGCGCTGCCAATTCTTCTTGGCGTTCCTGAGGGTGAAACGTATGGTATGAGGTACGGACAAGTGAGATGATGCGGAATCAATTAGATAATCACATAAAGGTGCTGCACAGTTTAGAAGGAATGGAAAATTTTGTGAATTTTATCTGAAGACTTATACACCCTTCCCTCCAAGATCAACATACGTTAAAAATGGACACTGAATTTGACATTTTGAATGCGAGGCCAAGACAAAGAAAGGACTGTTTCACAGCTTGACAACGAGGAGCAAACCCTCCAGCAGAGTGTGCAGAGGCCTGTGCTCCGTCAGAGGCGACGGGAAGCAGACAGGCCATCAGCTGGCACCGATGCGGAAACCACAGGCACGGCCTGCGGGACGGACGGCTTCCAGGCTCGGGGAGAAAGCATTCTGAAAGGGCACATATAAGAAATCTGGCATGGAGTCTTCAGGTCTCTGTCCAGCAGTACACACTTATTCTTCTCCGAAGATCCACGACACACGGCCCAACTGAACCAGCATTCCCAAACCAGAGCAGGCTGTGAAGTCCCAACACACCTGCCACTAAAAGGCAAAGGCCGTAGGGATGAAAACTACAAAACACACCGGCAGGTGTCAGTTTAAAATCATGATCAACAGCCCAAAGCAAAGTAGCAATTTGGGGGCATTTTCCTGCAAGACGGTTCTCCCACGATGGCCGCCGAGCCTCCCTTACCGCTCAGCGCCCCCACCCCTCTGTGCCTGACTGTGGAGCCTCCGCAGCACTGTGGTGAGGGAGGGAGCCTTCACCTCTGGCGCCTCCTACCACCTACCCTCCTGTCCCCTTGCTGCAGGGGTCTCTGTTCAAGGGACATACCCGGTACCCAGCGTGTGCTCTGGACCCCGCTCCTTGAACTATCCCCGCGCTGCTCCCGAGCCTGCTCAAAGGGCTGTCTGTCCGATCTGACAAAGGAAGCAGCGTGCGACAGCGCCCGACAGTGCCTTCGGGGTCAGCGTGAGAGGGAGAGCAAGGGAGCAGCGGGCGGCTGCGGAAGAAAACCCCTCAGGAGAGAAACCCCTCTGGGTGCAGGAGGGACGGGGACAGGGGCAGGAGACGGTCTGGCCTGGGGTCTGACACCCTTCTGCGCCGTCCGACTTCCTAGCCGGGAACCCTGAGGGAAAACAACAGATGTGACCAAATGAAAGCAAAGCCTCCTCAGACAACACATCCACAACCTTCTTGCTGACCATCTCGGAGAAGGTTTGGAGAGAATTATCTACGACTTGCCTGTGTTCTACCTTCTTCATCAGCCTTTTTTTTTTTTTTTTAAACTAAAGACATGAAGTATTTCATAGATTCAGGTACAGAAAAGACATGAACAGACAGCAATGAGCCTATCCCCGGCTTGAACAGCGGCATATCGTCCCACCACTCCTAAGCCACGTTAATCTGTGTCGGCCCCACCAGCGAGGCTGCTGACTGGGCTCTCGCTAAATCCAGTGGGTGCTTTTAGGCTCTCATTTCACTTACTTAAACCCATCTGTTTCTCTGCACCCCACTCATCTAACACACGATTTCCTCCCATTTTCTATGGCCTCTGATCGGTTCCTCCTACTTTAAAAAAATGGCAAAAGCAAACCGGATGAGGTCATTCCTGAGTTTAAACCATTCGCTCCTCAGGAGCCCGAGCCCCCTGGCGTCCCACTGCCCACACTCACCGCTCTCGGGCCAGACCAGCCCCATTCAGTCGCACACGCCTGCCTCGGCGCTGCCCAGAGATCACCGTCCCCACACCTCGTCTGCCTCTTTCCCACCGTCCTTTACAGGGTACTCACAGGTTCTGTTACTTAGAAAAGAGTGTGCACTTTCTCATCACAATCTTTACTTTCCCACTAGAGTACCTGCCATGATCTAAGTTACTTTACTGTGTGACTCTTTACGTGCTGTCCTGTTCAAGCGATCGGGAGCCACACGAGGCCAGGGCATCCGCCAGGGCCTGCTGCTGAGGCCCCAGCACTCGGCCTGCCCAGAACGATTCTGCCGTGTGTTTGAAGAGCAGGGATGGTCTAGTGCCCGGGGTCCTTTTTTTTTTTTTACTGGGTATGTCTCCTACCCGGTACTAGGATTTTAAAAGTAATGGTATTGCGTAAAAGGGTGTTTTACTGCTTAATAAAAAAGGAGCCGAACCAACTGTTTTCAGAAGTCAAAACACAGCGACCAAGAACTTTGAATAGGCTCAACCACCAACCAAAACACCACAATACCAAACAAATCATGGTTTCTGCACAGAGCAAATCATAAACCGACAATGCCTCTTCGTGTGTCAAATTGATTCAATTCCCCCACACGTCCTTCCACTGAGGGGCTGCAGTGTGTACACACCTGCCCACCGAGGAGCAACAGGTCCTTCAGGGTTGCCTGACAAGATCAGGAACTCTAGCAGCCGGAACATACCTGGAAGGGTGGGGATTCTAGAAACTGCTGTGGTGAGCGACTAATTTTAATGATTATTAGCTGGGACCAGAACTTGAGTTGGCTTTCTAAACACCCAACCGTGCACAACGTATCAGAGGCGTCCAGCCCCTTCCTTTGCATTTGTGTCCCTCCCCTGTAATCTGTCCTATGTCCCCACCTAACTCTCCTCTCTGATTTTTCTCTGTTGTAGCCCATGTAGTTATATTTTAGTATCTATATTTGCTGAATTGAGGCTCTTCCTCCTGAACCACCAAAACCTCTTTTACCTAGTCACCTGAATGCCTCTTTTCAACTGATGTGTTCAAAGTAGAAGCAGGCAGAAGGGCTAGAAGGTAGTAGTTGTGGCTGCGGAATCCTCCGTCCCAGCCCCACACAAAGCTTTGTAAGGATTCACACAGTCTCATTTACGCCACCTGTTACCTTGATGGTCAAGCAGAGACCCTCTAGGTTACTGGTTTCCCAAACACTATTTCGTACACTTCATACACTGCTTCTCACATTTTATCTGTTTATAAAAATTAGTGAGTGCTTTGAGGGTCTGAAAGAAACCTCTTATATTGATGGGCAGTGCCTGGGTCTCTGAAAATTATAAAAATCTGGGCATTCCTGGATAGTGGTCATCAATGATAATAATAAAAACGTAAAACAAGAGCAACTCCCTGAGAGCCAGGGAAATCAGCTCAGATACCTGCAGACACTAGGAGACGCTGCCTGCCCTAGTGTGGCAGGAGCAGGGCCCGGAGAGCGCAGGGAGCCCAGCAGCCTCCCCTGCTCTGTCCACAGCACAGCAGCGTACCTGCTCTACAGTGAGCATCTGTGCGGGGCCCGCTCTGGGAAATAAAGACAATCTCTAAGAAAAGGAAAAGAAAAAAGCGTCTGTCCTTAATTAGCCCAGCGTGGGGCTGAGAGCATGTCTTCACAGTCAGACCCTTCTGCTTCTCGGCACCTCTTTGACAAGAGAGGACGGTAACAGCCATACCGAAGACAGCTATCTGAAGGTATGTACAAGATTATTTACAAAACGAAGGACCAAGGATAAGAAAGCAAAGAAGGTCGTGAGGGAGCTGACCACAGTTAGAGCCATCAGGAAACCACACAGCGAAGAGCGCCCTGCTCCCACAGGGCCTCGTCCGAGCTCTGCCGTCTGAGCACGACGGAATAACGGGAAGCTAACGAGGCCGAGGCCCCTATCCGTCCCCTCTGTGTGCTGCTGGAAAGAAAGGGAAGTGTGTGAGCTTTGCTTACCCTGTTCCGGGCATGTTTTCCACTTGGTTGAGACTGGATTCAATGACAGACGTCAACGCCTCAAGTTCTTCCACGCACAGCGCCTTACACATGCTCCAGACCTTCTTCAGGGCGGCCAAGGCGTACAGTCGGATGCTGAAGTTGTGACTGAAACTCCACTGCAGCACGATGACAAGGGCTTGCTTCAGGACTGGTTTCTGGAAGGAAAGAGGGAAAAATCTTCATATGGGCCCATGGACCGTCCCACCGAGTGGACAGGAGCCCAGCTGCTCTCACGGACTCTGCAGGAGCAGGGTTCCTCCTTCCTTCTCAGACACAGGTGCGCTGGCATGAGCGATTTCCTCGAGGAAGAAAGATGCTCCCAGCTCCTTAACTTCCATTTCTGAGGTGGCTGCGGTCCACGTTCCCTTCACAGCAGCACCTGGGCTAAAGGACTGAGCCCCTCCACGCTAGCCACCACGCGACCACAATGTGTGAACAGACCCCCGAGCTGTACATGTCACGAGTGTTCTCCGAGCCCCCACTTCTGGTGCACGTCCAACTGCTTCTAAAGCGGGGCCCTCCAACGAGCCTGTTCCCTCCAGGTCTTTGTGAACAACTGTTTCCCTCATGATGCTCTTGGCCCCGCCGAGCGCTGAGGAGTGGCAGGAAAATTTAAAAATGGGGAGGAAAATGACAAAAGTTTAAACTTCCCTGTAGTCCTTCCCTGTGAATTCACAGACTGTCCCATCTTCACAGCCTTCAGATTTCAGGCAGCAACGGTCCCTGACTTCCAGAACCACACAGGTCCGCAGACAGTGAAAGGCAAAGGAAGTGACACAGATTAATGTGCAAACCAGATGGATGGAAACTTTTAATAAAACGTCAGGAGCTCCCGTGATGCTCGTGCCAAATGGTCCGTCTGCAAACGTCTGTGGGGCACCTTGCGGACAGTGCTACGGTTTCCACTGACTAAAAACCACCGAGCTCACGGAAGACTCGACCAACACCCTGCACAACCGGCGCATTTCAATCTCCCCAAGCCTCTTTGAGGACAAAATACAGACATGTAGGATCCTATTTAGTCCTTTATTCAAAATATGGTCAACATTCATCCAAGGTCGCTGCACTGTCAGCATAAGGACACCAGGGGGAGACACACGTGTAACTGTCACAAACGCACGACCATGACCCCGTAAGGAGCAACTTGAACCAATACCGGAGCATGTGGAGCTTGGCCAGAGGCAGGAACTAGGCAGATGGGGCCCAGCAAAAAGGCTACGGAGGAAGAACAATTTTCAAGAAGGAAGCAAGGAAGGCTTGGGGGGCATACCAGATGCGGATCTGAGAAAATCAGGAAACAGATTTATTTGGCCAGAAGGAAGACAGAAATGTCAGGGTGGCAAAGGAAAGTGGCAACTTCTGAGTGACACACGAGTAAGTATTTACTTGTATTTTAAAAGTTGAAAACCAAGACAGGTTATCCAGGACACCTGAAACACCATGAGAAGAGGATTTAAAAAGAGGAGACAAAGAGGATATTAATTATTACTAATATTTTATAGTCCTTTACAATTTTACGAGGCACATGTGAGAGCAGCTAAACATACATCCTACCGACAGTGTTAGACACGGACCACAAGTGCTGTGTAGGTTGTCTGTAATACGCACAGCTCCACGAGGACTGGGTGAAGATGAGGCAAACCAGACAGTGTCAGTAAAAGGACGGCCATCCCAAACATGACCCATTTGAAACCGAACTCCTGATTTTTCTTATAACCCCCAGGAGGGAGGGGAGGGTACTCGCTCCCCTGACCTGCCCTTACTCTGTGCCAGTCGCTGACTTCCAGGCATGACGAGACCACTCACCTGTGGCCCGCACCTGCTGTCCCTTGGCCTGGAAAGTGCCCTGGACCCACGTGTGATCGCTCACTCACTGCTTTCAGGTATGTGTTCAGGGTCACCTCTTGGGGAAGGTTTGCCCTGAACCTACCTCCTGATATAGCCATCCTGCCCCAGATACCCCGTTTCTAACCCTTTGTTCTGCGTTTTCTACAAACCCTGTGTCACCACCTCGGATGCCTGAGCGGCTCACTCGGTGAAGCATCTGCCTTCGGCTCAGGTCATGATTCTGGGGTCCTGGGATCAAGTCACATTGGGCTCCCTGCTCAGCGGGGAGCCTGCTTTTCCCTCTGCCCACTTCTCCCGCTGCTTGTGCTAATAAATAAAAATCTTAAAGGAAAAACCTGCATCACCACCTAACAGTGTAATGTCTACTTGTCATCTTTCCCCACACCAGAATGATGGTGGTGACGGTTTTGCTCACTGCAGAATTCTTAGGACCAGAACCATCCACCTGGACACACGGAAGGTGCAGGCCTATACTGGAGGGAGGAGGAGGGAACAACTGCTCAGACACCCCTCCAGCGCGGCCTGTGCTCAACCACCTGCACCCCACACCCCATCTCCCTAAGGACAAGCGCTTCCCTCTCTTCTAAGCAGCTCACGAGGCTCTCCCTGCCCTTCTAAACCTTTCCACGGAGGCCTCGGAGCCCTCCCAGGATGGTCTCCAACCCCTAACCGTTCTCTCCCACATGAGAAGCCAGGAGAGGGTCTGCGCCCGTTCCGATCCCCAGCATGATTCAGGTCGTTTCCCTGCCATCAGAGAGACGGCCACGTTGGTCCGCCAGAGCGCAGCCCTTGTCACAGAACCCGTAACTGTTCTTTCTAAAACCTTTGAAGCAGGTATTCCAACTTTTTAAAAGAGTTATCTACTTATTTTAGGGATGCCTGGGTGGCTCGGTCACCTGCCTTCAGCTAAGGGCATGATCTCAAAGTCCTGGGATCGAGCTCTGCATTGGGTTCCCTGCTCAGCGGGGAGCCTGCTTCTCCCTCACCCACTCCCCCTGCTTGTGTTCCCTCTCTCGCTGTCAAATAAATAAATAAAATCTTTAAAAGAAAAAAGTAAAAAAAAAGTTATCATTTGTTTTGGAGAGGGACGGGAAGGGGCAGAGGAAGAATCCCAAGCAGGCTCCCCGCTGAGTGAGGAGCCTGACACAGGGCTTGATCTCACGACCCCGAGATTGTGACCTGAGCCGAAGTAAAACAACTGAGTCACCGAGGCGCCCCCAGGTATTCCAACTTCTGACCCCAAGCCCCAACCTCAGTCCGTCTCCTATCCCACCTGTTTCCCTCCTGTGCTCCTCATGGAGCTCGTCCCAGTCGCAGGCTCCCCACTGCTGGAAACTATGGATAAAGCCCCTTTCCTGACCTCTGCAGTCTCCTGGCCTTTCTCTCCTTGAAAACAGTTCTTCCCACGACCTTCAGGACCCCCTGTTCTTCAGGTGGTCCCCCTCGCCCTCCTGCCTTCCTTCTCAATCTCCCTTTCTCCTGGGCCGTAGATGCCTGCGCTGCTCTGGGCTCTGTGTCTGGCTCCCTCTTCTGTCCGGCCGCGCTCCCTGCACGGGCTTCCACGGCTTCCGTCCAGTCAGGGCCCCAGAGTGGGCGAGCCACAGCGCAGCTACTTCTCCTTTCAGCCGAGGTGCAGCCACGTTCGCTGCAGACGTGCGCAGCTGTAGGAAGTCACACCGAGGTCCCCTCCTGCTAGCATGGGGCAAATCACAGCAGGGCATCCCAACCGGGGCATGGTCACGGACACAACCTACGGGTGCAACTGGGGTTTCCCCAGCATTCCTTGACCCCAGTTGAGCACAAGGTGTATCTGTACTGAGTTCTAGACCATTCTATCACAGATGTGGGCTCACAGAGCCAGAATCGCCATCACGAAACTGGACAGTTCCCACACTTGAGGACCCTCCTGTTGTCCTTTCATAACCAACACCCCCCCCGCCTCCTTCCCACACTCCTCTCCCCGCAGCCACTTTTTATACAACTGGCAGTGCTGTGAAGCCATCAGAGGTGAGCTGTGGGCACGGAATCCGGTGGTAGTGCGACAGAAATGGTCTTTATCACAGAGTCACTGGAAGCGTGAAGAGATGGGCTCTCGGCTCACGGCTGAGAGCTACACCGGGGAGCCCGCACCCACCACTTTCCTCCCTGACGGCATATGGAGCCTCCTCCATGCAGGCCTCCCGTGGCTTGCACAAGCAGAGCGATGAGCTGCGCTCCCGGAACCAGGACCCTGGGCCCTAGCCCACCCCGTCCCAGAGGAAACAAACGACCCGGCTTGTCAGCAGAGGCCTGCTTCTGCTTCTAGGTCCGGAGCGAGTGCAGACACCCTGAGCCCCTGGCGACACGGTGTTTCCAAAATAGGCTTCTGTGCTCCAGGCTCGGCAGCAAGAAGGTGTGGTGAACCCTGTACCTTCAGGAGGGGACCAGAGCACCCCAGTTCATCGGCAGTTCCTCCACGCACCCGAGCTACGCTAACAGCAGCAGCACTGACCCTCCACACCTGCCCCTTGAGGTTTCGGAGCCGTGGTCCCTAAACCGATGACCACGTTCAAGTCGTGCTTCCTATCTGGCCCTCTTCCTGAGCCCCAGAGCCCTACGTGCACCTGCTGCCTCCCAGAGCCCTGGGGCTCCCCACGAGTGACAAACCCACGACCCATCCACTTGTCACCATGCCCTTGGTCTGTTCCTCCCGCTGCCTCCCGCCCAGTGAGAGGCGCCACTGACCCTGGCGGCCCAGGTCACTTCCCTGCTTCCCGCCTTCTCGCCACCACTGCCATCCACCGAGCCCTAGCGTTCCTTGCTAGCACACAGCTGTCACATCCGTCCCTCCGCTGCCTTCACGCCACACCCCAGTGCGGCTCATGGGACAGCACGGAGATCACCGCGAGAGCTCCCCAGCGGCTTCCAGTGTCGCCCCCATGACTGATCCTACACAGCACACTCACAGTACACAAATCAGACCACGTCACCCTCTGCAGCACCTCCCCCGTGCCCTCTGGATAAAGTCCAAATTCCTCACACGGAGCATTTGCTGTGTGTCCTCCCCATTGTCAAGCTACTTGTCCAAGTTACACAGCAAGCAGGAGACGGCGCTTAGGTGGAATCCCAGGTCCCCTAGAGCTAGGACCCCCGACTCACAGACTGGGCTAAACCTGCTTTATAAAGGCCCTTGTGCGCTGGGCCCTGCCCACCCTGAAGCTCCTGTCCGTCTCCAGCGTCTCCCCGCTCCCACCATGTCCTGCTCCCCTGCCTGAGGCCTCCGTGCTGAACCCAAAGTCCTCCCTGTGGGCCAAGGTTTGAGATCTCACCGGTGCCCCGCAGCCCGCTGCACTTCCCCCACTGCACGCCCCCAGACCGAGCTGCATCCTGCTTCCCTGATCTCCGTGGTCCAGGGCAGTGCTCCGTAGAGGAAGCACTAACACCAGCTCGAGTGAGTGACACAGAGGGCTTGGTCCCTGAATGGGACAGGCACAGAGAAGGAAGAAAGACGCTTCTGAGCAGCGAGAGTGTAACCTCTGTGTTATTCAGTCCTTACAATGATCCTGTGAGGAAGGTAGTACCACGTCCAGCTTACAGCAGAGGAAAACCGGAGGAATCAAATCCAAACGCCTACCTCCCCTTTCAAATTTCTTGATGCTCTCGGATAACCTTAATCCTCACTCCACGCTTTACTTGGACTTCCTTAGTCTTTACAAATGTCCTTGTCCTGTTCCTAATCCATCCAGGACATGTTACCTCTAGTTCTCGCGTCCCCTCACCCTCCTCCTGGCTGTGACAGTTTCTCAGACTCGGCTTGTTTTCAATGACCTTGTCAGTTCTGAGGAGCAGTGGTCAGGTCGGCTGGGATCTGGGTGATGTTTTTCTCATGCCTAGACTGGGGTTACAGTGTCGGGGAGGGAAACCACGAGGCCATTTCCATCACGTCCTACCAAGGGCGCGGACTATGGCATGACTAAGCGCTGTCTGGGGCTCCCCTTCCTTACTCTGCTCCGAGGAAGGACATCACTAGGGCAGCTCACATTTTAGGACTGTGTGGTTATGTGCCCCCTCCTTGAGGCCAGAGTGACCACATAAATTATTTGGAATTGTGCACAGGTTTGTTGACTTTCCCATTGGTTTATTTAATCATTCACTTAGATCGGTCTAAATTCATGAATATTTATTTCATTGGGTTGTAACCCAGTGTTACTGTATTGTGTTGCTTGTCTCAGCTTTAGCCACTAGGGGGACTCTCGGGGGCTCCTGTGCCCCTTGGCAGATCTGCCCCACGTACCCCCGAACCCTGCCCCGCCCCGGCCCTTCTTTTCTATTTACCTTGCGTAGTTTCTGCCCTATTTCTAGAATCAGCTGTTTTTTTCCAAGAAGCCCTGGTTCCTTTTATGAGAGAACGGTATTAGAAAGCAGTATCTGGGAGCTAGGTACAGATTACTTGTAAGTATAAAAAATAAAAATAAAAAAATCCAGTGTAATTCTCAACAGGAAATATGATTGTTTTATGAATCCTACAGTCAGATATGCTGGTGCTGCCTGCGCTCATAAGCTGTGGCCAGGACTGGGAGACACACCGTTCGGGGCTGAACCCGTGATGCCATCTCCTATCTGCTAACGAGGTCTAGACACACAGAACAAGATGACAGGACAATACACCACCATGAGGACACTAGAGAACGGTGTCTTCCCTCTGCTTTCAATCTCCATAGACATTTAGCGTTCTGCCCTCGGTGCTGTTTGGCGGTGGTTTTGAATCCTCTTGAACCACCTAGCACAGACCCGTACAAGTGCAAATTGTCCATACTTTGAGGGAAATGGAAAGTCTTGAGTCACTGTTTCATCAAGTCTTTAAACAAAAACATATTTGTCAGGTAACAACAGACTTTGCAGCAGACACTGTGAAGGACTTGGACAGACGAACGAAGTATACTAGTCTGGTCTGGTCTTAGATCTCTCCATTTAGATTTCTTTTTTTCAGAAGATATTGAAACTGAGATCATTCTGTTCCACTAATCAGCATTCCTTCTTTTGGATGCTTTGAAAATAAATCTAAAATGTGTAATATACAGTGAGTATAAACAGGGCTGAATGGGGAAAATAACCTGTTATTGGGGCACCTGGGTGGCTCAGTCAGTTAAGCGTCCAACTCTTGATTTTGGCTAAGGTCATGATCTCAGGGTCGTGTGGGATCAGCCCCATGTCGGGTTCTGCACTGAGTGTGGAGCCTCCTTGGGATTCTGTCCCTCCCTTATACCCCCAGAACACCCGTGCTCTCTCCCCATCTGATAAATGAATAAATGATAACCTGTTACTTATTCCGGATCTAGTAGAAGCATCTTCTAAGATAAGTTCATTTTCAGAACTTGTCTGAATGGTTGTGAGCTATTTCAGCCACCCTGACAGAGGACAGTTCCTTGTCTCCCTGCCTCTCTCGGCAGATGGCAAGCAGATCTCTTTCCTGCACGTATTTAAGACAGGAAGGCAACACGTGACGTTACCTGAGGCTAGAGTTTGCCTGATTTCGGCAGAAGCTGTGAACTCACGCCTTCAGGGAACAGGAACTCTCACACCGCCATCTGGCAGACAGACGCTGTAAGGCGCCCCGTGACTTCAAGATCTCAGGACTTTAGGAGCTAAATTATGGTGGGGGATAAAGATCTTGGTTTAGAATTCATGAAATAGGTTAACAACTAAATTTGACTATTACCACCATTTAAAGACAAGAACACTTGGACATACTCTAGGAAACCTCTCTTCCCCCGTATTTTTCTTTTACTTTCAACACCAAACAGCACTTCTTATCCCGTATATCCGGGTCTCTCCCAGAGTTCACAGCTCAGCACTCTCTCCCCTGTACACTCAGTAAGGAAGAAGCTTGCTCTAAACCTCATGGACAGGTTTTCCTGAATTCTTAACAGCTTCGACAAAGCGATTAACCAGGATTAGCTACGCTCTCTACTTGTCTGTGGGGTAAACCACTATGGAGACCACTCAAAGCCCAAGAAAGAGGGCAGAACTGCGGCCCACAGCACATCAGCCTCCAATTACCCCTCAGCTCTTAATACTCAGGCTGTCAGCATCTTTGCGCGAGCCCGTGTTCAATAACTACGTCAGTCAAGGAGCAGTTAAACGCGTCACAGGAGGTCTCACTTAGATCATCTTATGTAACTACTTGTATAGAGTTAAGAATCTACCACTAGAAGTTGCCCACCGGTCTGTCCACAGATGTAGGATATGCTGAGGCACATGTACCTTGGTGTGGGGGCGGGGGTGTTCACGTGGGTTAACGCTGACCTGTGGATTGTGTCTAAGTGCGTGTGCACAGTGAGTGAGTAGTGGGAGGGAAGAGGAGAAGTGGTAAAAATCGCAAGAAATACTCAACGTTTAAAAAAAATTAGTACAAACATATACAATTCTATTTTGTAGGTTTAAACTCTTCTCATTTAAACTCACCTTTTCTGGAATGTTTTGAGTGATGATGTCCAAATGTGACAAAACGGATAAAAATGTACAAATGCTTGTTTTAAGGTTTTCTTCACCCTGAAAAAAAAAATCAGATAAATCAAACAGTCACTCAAGGCTTCCTATGCCTCTTTGAGGCCCAGGACAGAGGCCCACGTGAGGCGGGCTGTGACGCAGCCCCGGCCTGGGTGGGGACCCGGGATCGCAGACACAGGAGGGAAGTAACTTCCAGTGGCCAAACACCAACACCCCTGTCAGCAGACACCACAGGCAGGATTAATTTAACTGTGGAGTAAGTGGTACAGCCAAGGGTGTGCTCACCTCCGAGGAGGCACGGGCGGCCCATGAGAGCAGGAAGGAAAGAGAACAGGCAAAAAGGGAGTAAGATGCACAAAGAGAGGGGACGGGAGGGAAGAGACAGGCTCCGAAGTTAGATAGGACCTTGCAGACAACTTTAGAGCCAAGGACGTAAAGCTGTGTAGGTGTTCAGCTGGGATTCAGAGACCTTCCCAATTACAGGGATTTGGAAGAACACATCATTCTAGTGACAATAAACTGATGAGCCCCAGAAAGACCAGAAAGGAAAGACTACAGACACTATCATCCAGAATGATAGTGATTTATTTATAGCTGATTTATTCAGCTACTGAATGTCTTCTACATGCCAAGTACTATGTCAGAAATTGTGGAAAACAAAATTAAATAAGGTTCCTGCCTCCAAGGAGCTTCCTCTAGTGGGTTGCAAGGACCAAATCCAAAATAAGTTAAATTTCCGATTACACCAAGCACTATTCACATGCTACAAAAACCTCTAATAAGGGGATCCAAACCACCCTTCCTTTAAGAATTGACACAAAGGATGTGTGGACTGAGATCTAAAGGGAGAGAGACAATTCTGTAGATGAAGAAGACAAAGGCCATTTTAGGTACAGGTACAGCATGTGCAAATGGCCCGAGCCAGAGGACATGTGAGGAATGTGAAGGCTCAGGAAAGGTCAGACTGCCGCTGTGGCCTCTGTGCCTCCAGGGACCCCGGCTTCCCCATTCTTGTGCCCTAACGCAGGCCCTTCCCACCTTGGGAAGCTGGGTCACACCATCTGCTTTGGCCCATGAGACATCAGCACGCAGGACACAGCCAGAGGCGGGGGAAGCACGTGCACACCATGGCGTGTCGTCCTGAGATGCTCATGCTGAGTATCCTGAGGCACCACAGACAGAGGTCAGCCGACCCGCCGGGCATGCACGGAGAGAGCCCCGCCACCACAGCTCCTCCCCCAGTGCCACTGGGGTGACCAACGCAGAAACCGTAGCCCCAGCAGTCTCCACACGGTGCGGAACCGCCCAACAGGGCCCACGCAACCCAGAATCATGAAAAACATTAGAACACCACTTTCTACACTCACGGGTTCTGGACTGTTTGAGCAACAGAAAGCAGACGTGCAGACAGGGAAGGTGGCACACAGAGGGGCTGGCAAGGGAGGATGGCGTACCATCACCCGAGACCGGCAGGCCATTCTGAAAACCCTGGGTCTTTATTCCAGAATGATGTTGGAAGCAAGCGGATAATCTGACTAGATGTTCACTCTGAAAACCCTGCTCTGGCTTCTGTGCCGGGGATGGACGGAGATGGAAGCAGGAGTGGACGCAGGGGGCCCGAGGGAGAAGGCCGCAGGGGGAGGCAGAGTCCGGAGAGAGCATGGGAGAAACCCTCGGACACGGGGGTCACATGAGGCCAAAAAGCCACAGGGTGTCCGGGTTGTGCGACTGTGAGGGAGACATGGGGCACCGCGTCTGGGGAGACGAGAAGGCCCCTGGAGTTCTAGGTGCTCCACAGCCATTCCAGGAGGAGGTGTGCCGCAGGCCAGCCGGCTTCTGGAAAGGACCCAACAGTAGATATAAACGTGGCTCTACAGGCTGCACGGGCTCTGTCGCAGCCGCTGAACTCGGCCGCTCGGCACACACCGGGCCAGACCCCAGGCAAGCGAGCCGGCCAGGCTCCGCTGCACCCAACCACGAGGCCCGGCCTCACTGCGGTTTGCCGGCTCCCGACTTCGCCCGCAGGGAGGACGTCTGGAACGGAAGCAGAAGTCGGGGAGCGACTGCTTCAGGGAGGACGGGAGTCCTGGCGATTATGACAAGGACAGAGGAGGCCTCGCTGGGAGAAGCACGGACATTCACTAGCTGCGAAAAGGCTGGAAAGGACACGGAGAAGAGGGGACAGAGGGACAAGAGGACCCCGAGAGCGCGTCGCTGAACCGAGATCAAGCAGGTCGTCGAGAGTGTGGGCGGGCCGAGAGAAACAGGCTGACAACGGAGCCCGGAGCGTGTCCTCCGCGAAGGACAGTGCGGATGGCAGGGTGGGTGGGAGGACACGGAAAGCCTCTGGCAGGAGGTCTGACCATGACCATGACGTGCGAGGCACAGGGGCGGGGCGGGAAGTCGCGGGGCACATGTCCAGCAGCAGCGGAGGAGACGTGGGCACGTGGAAGCCACAGGCTGAGGAGAGACGGGGCACAGGGGACACTGAAAGCACAGGGTCCGAGAAGGCTGAGGCAGAGGAGTCGGAGGAAGGCAGGAGAGCGCTCTTCGACACAGGACCCAGGTCTCTATGGTACAAGGAGGGAGGAAGTCTTGGACGGATACGGACACGGGCAGACACGTGTGACCACTATGGAGAAGGTAGAGGTGTTCCTACGTGAGGACTTTTGTTTTCTTAAAAAAGTAGAAGTCGAGGTCATCTACTTCTGATAAAGGAAGAAAAGGGTGTAGTGTTTGCCATTTTTGGGGTATCCATCCTGAACCCCTTCCAAGTTCAGAGAATCCCCCCCCCTTTAGAGGTCTGTGGGAAGCTGCAGATACCAGGTACATTCCTGTTCCCAGCCTCTGCGCAGCTGAAGGGAAGGCACCGACGCTTGGATCCGGAGGCATCTACCCTGAACCGCAAACTGTGAGGGGAAAAGCCCCCCGAGGCGGCAGGTGGACGCGGATGGTGATGGCGCCCCCCTCCCCCGTGGGGTAAAGCAGCATCCCCACCAGGACAGCTCCACAGTGGGGCTGTAGCTGCAGCTCTGGGAGCCGCTGAACCTCCTTTATTTTCCAAGCCTGATTCTGCCCCGAATCTGGGCATTCTGCGCGCCTCCCCGTTCCCCGCTCCTGCACCGCCTGCTGATTCCTTTCTGATTCATTCAGAAGCTGTTTCATTTGTTTATAAGGAATACCCTTGAGAAGTGTCCACAGAAAGGATCTGAAGACAATACACAAGGTCTGAAAGCTCTTTAGGAGAGAGAGACTGAGCTAAGTAGAAAAGCTTCACAGAGTAGGGGCATTACTGGGGGATACAGGAGAGTCAGGACGTCTCAGAAGGACACCAGAGTCAACCTGACGTTGCTGAGACATTCTGGGGTGGCACCCCCCACTGGAGAGCGGAAAAAACAGACGACATTAGTGAAGGAACAGACAGGAGCAATTCAAGGAAAAACAACAGGAGTATTTTTCTTAATTCCATGGACATGAGAAGAGGAAGGGGGTATCTGATAAGGAATCTTGGAATAGTGAAAAGGAACACAGCTGTGGGAATGACACAAATGTCATTTCTTACCGCTGTGACGAATCACTCTGAACCTGTCTCTGAACCTCAGTGTCTTCATAAGTAAATTATAAAACAAAACAAAACAAAAAACAGGCTGATCTGGTGTTCAGGATTACCACGAGGCTGCTGGAGCTGCAGCTTTACGGGACAGCTAGGTGTCAAGCATGGAAACTGGGAGAAAGGACGATGGAAAGGAGACCAGCGTCAGGGGAAGCTGCCCTCATCAGTTCGGCTGCGTGTGGGGATTTGCAGTGGTCGCGTGCGAAAGCCGGGTTGGTGGCCAGGGGAGCAGGCAGCCCTGATGGGGTCCCCAAAACAAGGGGACTGCAGAAAGAGAAGCACTGGGGCTAATGGGTGATTCTTCTTGTTTTCATACCGATAGAGATGTGAGTCTACTACAATACAGACAGAGGCATTCTTGGATAGAGCTCTATTTCATTAGAATTTTTCTTACTTGAGTACAGCCGACACACAACGTTGAGCTAGTTTTAGGGATGCTAGTTTGTGGTACCACAATAAGTTTATATGCTGTGCTGTGCTCACTACAAGTGTAGAATGAGTCTTAGGATCAAACCCAGCATGAGGGTTGGGAAAAGGAAAGGGAACCCGTGAGAGGGACAGGGACGTCATCGACCTGACGGGGAGGGGGCCACGAAGGGCATGGCAGCATGCACCACATCAGCTGCCAGCGTGAAACATCAGGAAGGGGAAGACCAAGAAAAAGGCTGTGTGTTGCTGCGATGACATCCTCACCAGCGACCACAGTGGGTTAAGTAAAGCAAGAGAGGAAGGCAAAGACCACTCCTCACGAAGTTTAATATCGACACACCTCAGAAATACGGTGGGCTTGGTTCTGGACCATCCCAACAGTGAGTATTAAAAATGAGTCAAAGGACTCTCGACTTTATGATGGACATGAAAGTGACGTTTACTAGACTGGAGGAGACCATTAAGTGTTCAACAGAATTATGCCTCGAATGCAATGAGAAAAGCTAACCATCATCTGAGCTTTTGACAAATTGTAATCCCTGGTCACAGACCACCATAACAAATAATGAAAGTGTTTGAAATATTGTGAGAACTACCAAAATGTGACAGAGAGCCACATGGGGAGCACATGCTGTTGGAAAACTGGCACCAACAGACTTGCCTGACTCAGGGCTGCCCTGAACCTCCCACTGGTCAAGGACGCAGGGTCTCCGGAATGCAGTCAGCAAACCACCACAAACGCTGTGGCGGCGCTGAGACACGGCTGGACAGAGGAAAAGTCAACAGAAGAGTAAAGAACGGAGAGTAAAGTCCTCAAAAGAAAATACAAGTAACGGGGCGCCTGGGTGGCTCAGTGGGTTAAAGCCTCTGCCTTCAGGGTCCTGGGATCGAGCCCCACATCGGGCTCTCTGCTCAGCAGGGAGCCTGCTTCCTCCCCTCTCTCTCTCTCTGCCTGCCTCTCTGCCTACTTGTGATCTCTATCTGTCAAATAAATAAAAATCTTTAAAAAAGAAAGAAAATACAAGTAAGGACACAAGGACAGATGGGACAAAGACATCAACTTCTTCCGATGAAACAGGAAGGAAGACATTCAAGCGGAGATACTTGGAGGAAGGAAGGGTCTCCATTGTCATACGAGCAGAAGGCGAGGTCGTTGATGTGAAGAAAGGGAAGGGTGTGTTTGGGAACCAACAGAAGACATTCAAGGCAAGTACACAGAACATGTGTTTACAAACACTTCACCATTTGCCAGGAAGCCGCAACTGCAAACCCTATCGCTTATCCGTTCCTTAAAAACAATTTTCAGGATATAGGAAAAGTTGGGCAGAGGGCAATTAGGGGTGCGGATGAGGGTACAGATGAAGTGAGACGGGTTCTTAGTTGGTGATCCGAGCTCCCTTCAAGTCTCTCTCCTGGGCTTGTCTGAAACTTCCCTACTAAAAAGCTCTCTGAGATGTAAAGATTGTATTTAATTTGTCATCATTCTTATTTCTAAAATCAAGCAAAGACATTGCTTGGTAAATAAGGATAGAGAAGGCACTCGTTTATTCTTTTTATTTGAGAGGAAGAGCGAGCGAGCACACACAGGGAGAGAGAGAGAGAATCCCAAGCAGGCGCCACACTGGCTGTGGGGCCCGACATGGAGCTTGAGATTGTGTTCATGACCTGAGCTGGAATCAAGAGTCAAACACGTAACCAACCGAGCCACCCAGGCACCCCTCTTACTTCCTAACATAAGCCTTTCCATCTTTATTTTCTTGGAATAGAGGCTGATAACACAAGATGAATGCCAGGAATTTCTGCCTTTTAAATTAACTCAGATCCTGCAGAACTTAGGAAGTCAATACATGGGAACAGGACAACTGGCAATCAAAAACCAACTATTAAAATGAAACCTCCCAGCATAACCAAAATATTTTAATTCCAAAAATTACAAAAAATCTCTTTTACTTACATAAGAAAAGCAATCCCAGAACTTCAGCAGAAATTGAGGAAATTTATGAAGAATCAATATAATAATCCATTCTATGAAATATTTTATGGATGCTTGATTATTGATGAAACCAGCCTGGAAAATCTTGTCAATAATTCTATTCAAGAAATTCTGAGAAAAATAAAGTTCATAAACTGGTAAGTTAGGGTTAATAACTTTTATCAAGCTACAAATCGTCATATAACACTGTGTAAGTCTAAGGTGACCACCCTGTTGATCTGATACATTCACCCATCACAGCAGGATTCCCACAAAAGCATCCCCTCTAGCACATCACAAAATGACTTCTTTTTTCTGGTGGGAACAATAAAGATCTAGTCTTGCAGCAACTTTTGAAAATAGTTCCTAGTTGTAACTTTTAAAAGTTTTTTTTTTTTAACTTTTTGTTTTAGTTTTTTGTTGTTGTTTGCTTTTTTTTTTTTTTTTTTTTTTTTTTAGGAAGCTCTATGCCCAACGTGGGGCTTAAACTCACAACCATGAGATCAAGAGTCACCTGCTCCACTGACTGAGCCAGCCAGGTGCCCCAAGACAGATTAAAGTTTAATGTAAGTAATTATCAGATCTGTAACTCTCTAAACAACCCTAAAATCTGTTTACGGAAATACAATGATGAGGTACTGAGGACTTTACACTTTCCTTGAACATTAATTCTATGAGGAGGGTTATTACTCTCTGTATTTTTACAGGGGAAAGATTCAGAAAAGTTAAGTATTTTCCTCAAAACATAGTAGGTGGCAGAATCCAGATTTTAACAAGCATCTGCCAGAATGTCACGGGCTTAAACCTGGAAAAAGAATGACTGATGCGTAAGTCCGCAGGAGACCAGCGAGGCCCGGGAGAAGTGGGTGGTCGCCCGTCCGTACAGCCTCCAAGACCCGGGACTTGCACATCACCTCCCCTCGCCCCAGGCTCCTGTTCTGGGGAACTGAACATATCCAAGTAGCATGTAAAAATACATACATATATCTACTTGCATAAGATCTAAAAACAGTATCATGTATATTCTTTATTTTATTTTATTTTATTTTTTTATATATTTTTTTTATATTCTTTATTTTAAAGAACAATCTATCTTTTAACAATTTCTAACTGGCAGAAAAGGAGCAGAGCAGCTCACCTACAGGCCTGGGCAGCACGGTAAGAGGTGGCGCAGACTCAGGGAGGCCCGGTTTGCAACTCCAGCCCCGCGGGCCGTGTTAGGTCACAGGCAGGGCCCCAGCTCCCTGACTGCAGGGCCCGTGGGCAAAACAGCACCACTCGTGCCTGCCTTGAAAGGCCGTATGGAGGGGAAATGCAGGCACCAGATATGACAAGGTTCTCAGCACCGGTGGCTTGGCCGGACAAGCTGCCGCTGCCGCAGGCCCCCACCCGCCGACACGACCCTCTCCCCGGGGCCTCCCCAGTCCAGGACAAAACGTGCTGTCAGTAATCGAGCCAAACGTCCCTAAAGCGTTGCTTTCAATGCATTTCAGAATCTGAGTGTGACATGTGCAGGATTTAAAAAACCAGATAGCGTGACGAGGCCCCTGACGGAAATCAGCAAGCGCGCACGCGCACAAACACTCCCCCCCAGGAAGAGCGCGTTCAGCCATTTCTTCTTACGTTTGCCGAAACAACTGATCTGGTTATACTTCTGCACTTGCAGTTATTGAATTGTTTCTCTCTTACAGATATAAGGCCTCGTAAATTGTATTAAAAAAGAGTTTGATATGTTTTTAAAATTCTCTGAAACATTTAAAAGAGTTTAGGAGGGGAGGACAGCAAGAAACTGAAGTCCACGAGGGAAATTTTTGTCGTCAAAATGCTTTTTAAAATTGTGTGAAATTCACATAACGATCTATTTTCTTACCAGGAATATTAAGCAAACCTGGTTAGAGAAATCAGTCCATTCCCCTGTTCCTTGCCTCCTCAGGGAAGAGAAAAGGGAACTCTGGGCAAAGACCCAGTTCTAAGAGATCAAGATCTCGGCCTTGGCTTAGCTGGTTCATACGCCCACAGTACTCACAAAGTTAAGAGGGCACAATCAGCTACGGGAAATGACAACCTCATCCAAACAAAAGCACTCTGAAATAACTCAGCTGTGCAAAATGAGCAGCTCATGTGTGGGTATTTTAACCGAATGGCACACCAGACATTCCACAGCTAAAATGTTACTGGCACACCAGACATTCCACAGCTAAAATGTTACTTACGTTAAAGAAGAAAAGAAGAAAAAAAATATTAAGTGGTGCCCTGTAAACCAGTTTCCAATTTATTTCTGCAACACCTAATTGCCTTAGGATTCTTTCTACTAAAAAAACACTCCTAAATAACTTCAATTTTAAGAGCGAAGGTATACATTTTAAGCAGATTACTTTCTCAGTTTTAAGACAGCACGTGCCAGTTTCTGCTCGTTTCTTCCGTAGAAAGCACGGTGCTCGGAGGGAGCAGCAGAGTGAGGGTCGTACCTGATCAAAGCTGGGGAAAAGCACCAGCAGCGTCTGCCACACCCGGTTCTTCAGCCGGTGCTGCTGGGAGTTCACGTAGTACCGAGTCCTGGACTTAGACACCGACTCATCCTGGGGCGGGGAGAGAAGCGGCACTGAATTACCTATGGGATCTGTGATCCGTGAAAGCAAAACCAATGACAACCGCAGATTTAAAAGCTTTAAGCTGAGTACAGGAGCTTATTACCCTCCCAAAGGCAGAACCCAGGATAAGAAAGACACGTTCTTATAAGCATGGACTGTCCTTTCAAAACAATGAATTCAGTTGCTTTTATCTACTCTATCTGCTTTTAAAATTAGAGCAGGAAACATAAACTGTATTCGGTACAAAAAAGATTTGAAAACGTTGGTCTCTATCTTGGTGGCCACTTCAGGTGGAGACACGGGGTCACCAGGGCGAGAAGAGATGAGAAATGGGACAGCTTTTGCAAGGCACCAACGTGGGCATGTCTCACTCACTGCCCATGTGTCCCAGAAAAGGTGGCAGTGATGTCAGTCCGAGGTGAAGCCCACTCAGGCAGGAGCGTGGGAAACACTGCAACCAGCACCTTCACCAGACATAGACAACGGCAGCACAGAGCCCTCCCCAGCAGCAGAGCTCCCTCTCTCGCCGGTGATGGTCTGTCCCGTCTAAACTCGGCCAACTGCCAGGCTGACTTGTGTTCTCTAACTGCTAGCGCTTAGCTGCTAAGTTATGATAGCACCAAAGGGCGTATCATATTCAAAGTTCCTAAAGGCAGAAGAGTAGGTTGTCCACCATCTCCAAAACCGCTGTCACCTAATGTGGACAGTCCTCATTACCTGGGAAATTCTGTGATCTTTCTTCTGTGCTCCCATTCTAGGCACTTCCGTGTGTGTAAGATTTTACAACAGCTAAATTAACGTCGGTTTTAATGACGCCTCACCATGATTCAAGTCTCACAAGCTCCTCTCTTCCGTTTATTTCTTCGGGGACATTTTCTTTTGACACAAGTGTTTCAGGTGTCCCCTCCTGCTCGGGCGCGATGCAGCCACCAACGGGATCCTCACGAGGGCAGCAGGCATGGGAATTGTCTGCACCCCGGTCCCCCACCCTCGGGGCCTCAGCGGAGTCACTGTCCTCACCCCTCTGCAGCTCAAAATCCACTGTCCTCTTACTTGTTCTACCCACTGTGCTCTCTTGTTCAGAAAGATCTTTCTTCTCTCTACCTGTCTATCCACCTCACAGACCCAACCTGCGCCCCAAGAATGTTCTCCACGGTCTTGTCTAGAGCACTTTCCATCCTTTTCACTGCAGCCTCCAACCCAGTTGCAAATTCCCTTCTTCTGAATCAACCCAGTGGTCTTAAAGAATCGGATCCTCCTTTCAAGCTGTCAAGACCGCTGAAGAAAAACCACGGGGCCCCCACGGACTTCATTAAAAGCACACATTCTAGCTTTAACTGGCCCTCACCGCCGCTAGACCAGGGGTCTCCGACTCCGTAGTGCTCAGAATCACCTTGAGGGCTCGTTAAAACAGACTGCTGGCCCCCCTCCCAGAGTTTCTGATCCAGGAGAATTGGGGAGGGGGCCCAGGAACCTGCATTTCCAACACATTCCTGGGTGACACTGCAGCTGCCGATCCAGAGAACGGAAGTTAAGAATAAGATTCCACTCATAAATGGAATCTAAAAAAAAAAATGAACAGGCAAACAAAGCAGAATCAGAACCATCGATACAGAGGGGAGGGGCGGGAGGACGGGAGAAAGGGATGAAGGGGAGGGAGGTGCAGGCCTCTGGTTAGGGAAGGAGCAAGCCCCAGGTTAAAAAGCAGAGCCCTGGGGAACACAGTCAGTGAACTAGGACAGCGAGGTAAGGGGACAGATGGCAGCTACGCCGTAGTGAGCTGTCAAACCACTGTGTTGGACACCTCAAGCCAACGGAGCGTGTGTGTCAACTACACTCAAGAAAGAACGAGCTACTCTGCCAATCACTTTGCTATCCTGGGTCTCGTCCCCTTCCTCTTTCCACAAGGAGAGTCTGAAATCTTGACTATTCCTCTCACGGCTTTAACTCTGTCCAGTCTCTTACTCTGGCCACACGATCCTCCCTACTTCAACAATCTTCCTTCAACCTCCCTGATTCAACCTTCTGTCTTCAACCTCCATCTTCCCCTACGGGAGGAAGGTCCTATGTCCCTTTCAGATATCCATCAGATCAATTTTTAAGAAGTCCCACTCTTCCCTTGCACTTCTGCTGCCCCTTCGCTCTACTGTGCACTGGCCGGACCCCGACGTGCTGCTGAAAACCCAGAAATGCCCCCCAGCTCCTGCCCCCCACGCCCAACCTGCTCTCGGACACAGTGGACACCACTGCCAACAGCCACCGAGACAGAGCTTGCGGGGGAGGGGGCAAGAGCAGGTTCTGAGATCAAGCTTTATCATTGTGGACAAATTCATAGAGGCTCTGCTGCTGAATTTTCACAGATAGGACTCTCCAGTGAGCTAAGTGATGGCCCAGAGCAACACCAGCCTAGCACCATCGGATTCTGGGTCTAGCCTTGCTTATCAAACCTCTTTCTCCTGATCTTCCTCTGGTTCTTTTTGCTACCAATATACTTCAAGTATTGGTGTTTCCTAAATTTCCATTCTCGGCCTCCCTCCAGAGTCTTGTCCACATTCATCACTGAGCACAGTGACTTCCAGGTCTTTCCTAAATATATTCCAACTGCCCATTCCTGGGCAATTCCACAATGATGCCCAACAGCAAGTCATGTTCTCAGATCTTCTCTTCCACCTGCCTGAAACCAGGATAATTCAAACACTAATAATAACTACAATGGACTGAAACACATACGTTTAACCTTAAAAAAAAAATGAAAAACAGAAGAACCACTGATCACCTTCAGAAGAAACTGGAGGACACTAGGAAGCCAATTCATTATTTTGAAAACTGAAAAATAACAGGAAAAGAAGCAAACACTGATCCTGTCTTTCCTACAGGAAACATATCCTGGGATATCTAAATACATCATATTTGGGTACAGACGAGTTTCAGCTAATAAATGAAAAAAGAATGTAAGAATTAGAGTATCGCCATTCTGCTGCTCCCGAAGAATTAACAGAATGAGGCAATCCCTCAGAGACAGCCAAATCTTCTACACTTCCTGACGGATGGGACACTTTTGCCCTACCTCTGTCTCCAAAAAGGAAAAGCAAACCTACCTCTGATCAAGGCTCTAGATCTCAATGCCATCTTGTCTAAAATTGGGGATCAGAGAAACATCTTAAAGGGCACCATGGAAATTCAAACAGCAAAATCCAGACTGAGGAAGTCCCTAAGATGAAAACAATCTGGTTTCTCCAAAAAATACATTTCCGGTTTAAAACGAATGAGGGGAGTCTGTAGATTAAGAGAACTTAGGGACATCTCAACCAGCCAATGGCAGAGAATGGACCTTATCTGGGTCACATTTCAAACAAAGAAACTGAAAAAAATGTAAAATAATCAGGTAAACTTAAACACTCATGGGATATTTGATAATATGAAGGAACTACAAATTCAGGTGTGAAAATCGTTTTGTAGTTATGGTGGACAAAATAATTCTTATCTTTTTGAGATACCTACTGAAATATTTATAGATGAAAGTGACGTTGGGATTGGCTTCAAAATAATGTGGGTTGGGGGGAATGTCAGAGGTGGACCCCACAAGGTTGTCCGTCGCTGGTAGCTGCTGAGGCCGGGCCAGGAATGGATCCCTTTTAAAGTTACTTTTAAACTCTTTGCAAGTTTCCAGTAAAAAACAAACAAAAACCTAGCCCTCCACCCCGGGCCTCACTAAAACCTAAAGAACAGAGAATGGGGAAGACCCCATGAGCCTGGAGGTCCTTGAAGGTCGCTCCAGCTGGCCACCATCTCCACCTCCTCCTGGTTCACGCTGTCCACCCATGGACTCAAAACAGAACCTCCAAGGTGACAAGTCAGACACACAGCACTGAAGCTGTGACACAGCAGTGCGTAATCCCCACCCCCACAGCTTCTGTACTACAGTGGGAAAGAATGACTTCAAGCACTACCCGATACTAATTCTAACTGAGATCACTGCTACAACTTCAACCTTCCCCTCGGTCTTCAATGCCAACCACGTTCCTGCCTCTTCCCTCTAGAAACAACCTTGCTTCCTGGCTCAGAACACGAGGGTCCCCGGTGATCCCTCCCTCACACTGACTCGCCACCACCCACCTTGCTCTTTTCTAGCTCAGAAGATGAGGTCACTCCTGGCTACAGTGAGCCGGCCCATCCACTCTGGATGAGACCCTCTTCCATTTTCTCTAGGATTATTCTTTCATTTTTCTCTTTTTTTTTTTTTCATTTTTCTTATTTTCAAATTACCCTTTTATTAGTTGCTTTACTCGATTTTCTTCACCTTCTAAAAACAACTGCTTGGCCTGAGCCAGTTTCTAATACATAACTTTTCTGTCTTTGCTTTTCCATCTCCTAATGAAAGCCAGAACTTCTATTGGACATTGGAGCCAATCTAGACTATTCAAAGATTTTTTTAAAAAATACAATTCACGTAGCATAAAAATCACCATTTCAAAGTGTCCCACTCAACGGGTTTGGTATATTCACAGAGCTGTGCAAGCGTCACCCCTATCTATTCCAGAACATTCCCACACTCTGAAAAGAAACCCTGTGCAATCACATCCCGATCTCGCCTTGCCCCTGACCCAGCAGCACGAATCTATTCGATCTCTACAGATTTGCCTACCCCGGACACTTCCTGCAAACCACACACCATGTGGCTCTCAAGGATGGCTGTCTTCTCACCTAGCATAATGACTTCAATGTTCACCAACGCCGGTTATCTTCAGCCTGTTTGCTGTAACAAGCATCCCAGTGGATGTGAAGTGGTTACTTGAGGGTTTTGCCTGTGTGACCACTGCCAGCCTCTCCAAAACCATCCCTTCTCCCTTCTGTTGGATCACTTCCTTCAACATACAAACACGCCCCTGCAGACCCATCCCAGCCACTCCCTCTCATCCAAGTAAAGCCTGTACTCATGGTCTCCCCTGACTCCCCAGCCACACTCCTCTCAGCCCTTCCACTGAGGTCCTCATTCTCACCATCCCAGGAAAGGGTCTTTGTAGAGGTGACTACACACAGCCTTCTTGCCAAATCTCAGGGCCAACGGGCAGCCTCATGTCCCTCCACACCTCCAGACAGCACCTCCCTCATTTGCCTGGGGACACCAGCCTTTCCGGACATTCTCCAACCTCACTGGCAGTGCACTCAATGGCACCGGTTAGAGAGGCCCTCCCTGACCCTCTAAATAGCTCTCCCTCCTTATTCTGCTTTACTTTGTTTCCAAACACTCTTATATTTTGTATCATGCATCAATATTCACTATAATACATCTTTGTGTTCTAGCATTCATCCTTAGGGAATCCATAAGCACTATTTCCTGACACGTTTTTCCCGACTCCAATGGTGCAAAAGGCAGGGGGATTTTTACATTAAAAAACAACAACAACAACAAAAAACTTCCCAGATTGTTTATAACTGAAGCTGATCTGCTACCTTCAGAAAACAAATGCATGATGAACACTGTTATTTCAATACAAGTGGCTTAAGTGGGGGCTATGGTCATCAGTTACTTCCCAGTGGAGCCCAGAGATGAGAAAGTAGTCAGAACTCTGCCTGTCCCAGCTTCAAATTCAGAAGAGAGCAATGTATTTGACTTTACCACTTCCTAGCTTCTCCCCAGATTTGTAAATGATTTGGTAGACCAAAAAAAAAAAAAAAAAAAAAAAAAAATCAATTCTTTATGCCACTTCCTATGTCTTTTTATTCCATTTCTTACACAGAATAATGTATGGATATATCACTCTAAACACAACTGCTTTTGACTGGCCCTAGGATATACACTGAGCAAAGCTTAGACAGCAGAGGGAAAACATTCTTCTCTAAAATCAAATGAGTTGGATAATCACTAACCAAAACTTAACTAAAACTAGGGAACATAAACCTCATGTTTCTTCCTGATAAAAACTGTTTAGGGTTCTGGGTGGCCACTTGGTAAAGCATCTACCTTCGGCTCAGGTCAGGATCCCATAGTCCTGGGATTGAGCCCCACATCAGGCTCCCTGTTCAGTGGGAGGCCTGCTTCTCCCTCTCCTCTCCACTTGTGCTCTCTCTCTGTCAAATAAATCTTTAAAAAAAAATGTTTAGATTACATAATGTGTCAACATACAGAGCAAATGTTGGATTTTGACTTGTTAGTTACACAGAAACAAAGTAAAATAAGGCATATTTACTTTATCTAATAGCTTGATTGCAAGATCTTCCATAAACAACTTATGAGACATATTTGAGCCATGTAATAAACACAGGAATTTGACAGCACAAATTCTCACATAGTGGTCTTCTCTTTTAGTACTAAAAAAATGTAAAATGACAAACTATGTTAATACATTTTCAAAACAGAAAAATATGTCAAGCATTTGTTTCAAAATATCAAAACCCTTCAAAACTTAAAAGCAGCTCCCTCCTTAATGATAGTACTTTTTCAATTCAGGATGACAGAGAATAACAAAAGAATATCTTAAAAGGAGAGACTGTACAGAGTCGGAGCAAATTCCCCTGGACTTCTGGCAGAACACTGCACACACTACCCGACCCAGGCCAATGAGTGCTTCTCTGTAGGCAACAATGATCGTAGCTCAGGAACAATTCCCTACAGAAGAGCACAGACACCTGACACCTGAGGTCTCTACCGTGCGAGACACCCGCACCTTCTCCAGGTGCAGGGCAGACCTGGGAGCACCACGGGCTCTGAGCCTCCCAGTACGCTCTGTGTCCAAATGTGGGAAGATCAATTCAGTGAAACTTAGTATTTCCAAAGTTCACGCCAGCTACTAAAATGTGAATAACAGTCTAACAACAAAACGTGTGTCTAGTAGAAATCAAAGTATTTTGGAACCATCAACTAAAAATGTTCACTTTTATTGCTATACTAAACCTGCCAAGAAAACAAAAAATCAAAGCAGTTAACAATGAAAAATGTATAAAGTTAATGAACAGTGACAAATGATTTAAAACACAACTATGACTCTCAGATTAACACTGTGATAGCTATATAAAATTATCATTTATATATTTTTATAAACATCTAAACACACAAATTTTTAAAAATTACATGGAAAAATAAAATGAAAAATAGCTACTTGACAAGCTCCAAAAAAATTAATTTAGAGGTAACATAAGAATAGTCTTATCCTAGAAATGAAAACGTTAATGTAAGATCCTAAAAGAGCCTTTAAAAGCATGGTATGGGTAATTTTGCTTCTGTGTGTGGTATACTGACTTGTCGAGTGGTGAACTGTGACACCCCCGAAGGAATGACATGTGTGCTGACCCTCAGCCCCCACCTAAATGAAAGAGAAGAATGGGGTTTTATGTTCCCCAAATACATTTTATCTTTTTTTAAAAGATTTTATTTACTTGACGGTGGGGAGAGAGAGTAAGAGGGGAGGACAGCATGAAGGGGAGTAGCAGAGGGAGAGGGAGAAGCAGACTCTGCTGAGCAGGGAGACTGATGTGGGACTCGATCCCAGGACCCTGGGACCATGACCTGAGAGGAAGGCAGACGCATAACCGACTGAGCCACCCAGGTGCCCCTGTCATTCTCTTATTTATACTGGACTTGGCACCAAAACTTTTTCTCCCAGAAAATTTTCACTTATTCCCATGAAGAAGGTAGTAACAATGTAAAAAAAAAAAAAAAAAAAAAAAAAATCTTCCAATGTCCTGTTAGAATTGCTTCTCACTTTTTTCATCTTTAAGGAATTATTTAAGGTTATCAAATTTTAGCAAGGAGTTTTATATCAAATATTAGCAGGGGAATAGGATTTCTAACATGCTTTTTGAAGGTTCTTTCAATATCTTATAGAGAGCACTAGTACACATTTATTAAATTTAAACAAATATAGGACATCTCTCATCTGAAGTTAAATTTTGAATATTCCATTTATATCAAGATGTGGAAAATCTACCATACTTACTTTTCAATAACCGTGTTTGCTGCACAATCGTGTCCAAGATTTTCTATGTAGGTCTGCACATCCTGAATAAGTCTTCCCATAAAAAATATTTGACAAAGAACAGGTTTTAGATGGGAAAAAATTAAAGCCCCAAACTTAAAATTAATTAACATTTTATATACTTCTAACTGAAAGCCTAAAAATAAAGACCTAATTCTACTGAGTAGATTCTTAATATGAATTATGACAGGTTGAAATAATGGCATCTTTTACCTTTGATCACGCCTAAAAACAGTTCCAAATATACAAGCCTCGAGGATAAGTTCGCTATAATTTTTAGCACTTGACAAAGACACTTGGGACACATCTGAAGCAGAAACTATCCAAGATTTGCAGCAATAACTTATCAGTGTATTGAAGACTCCGGTTTTTATAGCAGACATTTCAATCATCTTGTACATAATCTGGAATGAAATACAATGGTCATTTTATTCTTTGGCCCATTTAGTTAAGGAAAAAGAAGTGTTGCTGAAAACTTACTTGAATGGCTTCAAATGACAATTTCAACATAACCACATAGTATAAAAAATTAAACATCTTGATTGTTAAAATTTTGTGAGATGATCAATAATCACAGAATGCTATTTTTTTCATTTCTCAATAGTAAAACTAAATAAAATTTTACTGATAGTGATATCCCTCCAGGACTTTGCAGGAGAAACGACTGCCCAAAGTAATAGAATGAAAGGGAGGAAAAACATTCCCCCTTGACATTTTCAGTCCTCTCTGCATTTTGCCCGTGCTCTCCACCGCCCCTGCCTTCCCCGAGGCAGCCAAGACCCCGGGTCTCTCGTGTGCCCTGTGCACAGGGTCAGCAGCGCAGTAAAAGGACTCTACCTTCCATTCTCCCTTTGGGTAACGAGGTATACAGAATTCCTAGCCATGACGTCACCCACCACGTCAGGCTCCCTACTATCAGTGGTTGTAAATGCAAACGCCACCAGGAACCAGGAGGACCTTTTGATAAGGTTATGTTCGGAGAAATATTTCTCTATACAAGAAAAGCAACAGCACAAATGTGGGGGGCAAATGGCACCTGCCATCTGCCTTTGGTATCCTGGAGTCAAGGACCTACTACCCTTGAGCGAGGAAGTAGGAGGGGCATGCCCTCTCTGGACGGGAAGTTCCGAAGAACGGCCAGCAGGTGGCCAGGGCATCCAATTCTCCAACATTCCGAGGGAAGGGGAAATACAGATTTGCTTGCAAATTTCCCAATTCTTAAAAGTTGGCAATTAATTTTAAAATGCTTAAGCATCATATGCATCCAAAGAGTCCGCAAGGCCCCCCGGCTGCTCACCCATGACAGAGCTTGTTGTCAGTCACAACCCTGAAGAAGGTTCAAAGTATTTGTGGACTGCAAGAATGAATACACAATAACAAATCTAATACACAATTACAAATGTAACTCTCTTCTTCCCCGTGTGCTACAGGTCACACAAATTAAAAAGAAAACAAAAAGTGACCTCCTTTTAACCTCAAGCAGGCAAATTCATAGAAACAGAAAGAGAATCGTGATTACCAGGGGCTGTGGGAGGGGGGCAAGGGGAGTTGTTTAATGGGGATGGAGTTTTAGTTCAAGTTAATTTAGTTCTGGAGACCTGTTACAACAATATGAACATTCTCAACGCTACTGAATCACACACTTACAGATGATAAGATGGCAAATTTACATTCTACCCCATCGTGAAAAAACTTACCTCTTTTATCTTGAAATACGCCTGGCCCTTGATTTTTGCAGCGATGGTAAGAACTTTGGTATCAAAAACAAACTGAACAAAGGCTTTTAAATTAGACCAGAATATCAGCTGAGTGTTGCTTAAAGCACATATAATCTTCCAAGCCGTGTCAACAGACTCTACACAGAGTGATTCAGAGGAGGTCAAAAGCTGGAAGGAAATATGAAAGAACGACTTCATTTCAGAAACTGATCTCGGGTCCTACAGTTACTCCTCAGTTCCCATCTCACTGAAACGTACCTTGGGAACCAGAACTTTCATGCAGTGGAACACAGGCAAGACTTGGTCTGAAGGCAGGACTGTGAGGGCTCCCAGCGCGGACTGCAGGGTCCTCGCCGGCATCTGAACAGCAGGTAGGACGGGATCCGGAACGTCACCCTCCGACGACGGTATAAGGGTGTGGTATTTTCTCAACAAGAAAGAGAGGCAGACCCACTGATCATGAATATATTGTGCGACTACTTTCCCCCATCCTTGGGAAGCTGCCGAGTCTTCAGAAAAACTGAAACAAAACAGACGGTCACCATCCCTTGCTCCTTGAAGTCGGGCTCAGTTCCCTGTGCACAGAGTAACGATCCTTACAAGGAAAAAAGTCACAGTCGCTCTTTAAGATCCTGTCCCACGAAAAGCAAGGAGACCACACGATCTCAACTTCCTAACTACTTGAATGTAGGCACTTCCCTTCCCCATAAGTGGTTAACTGAGAACGGCACGCGGTAACGTCCGCGGCTGTCCAGCAACAGAGATGCTGGAGTACGTTATCATCTTCAACTTCCCAACACCCTGTGAACACGACCGGGCCGTCACTCATCATCTCAACGACGACGACAAAAATGAAATTTTAAACGTTGGCAAACAGGTGCCGTTCCCACGTGCGCGGCCCGCCGGGGCGGACACACCTGCTGTGCTCCTCTGGGTGCGGCTTCTGCAGTGTGTGATTGAGCGGGAGGGAGGCGAGGAACCTTTCCGTGGGTCCCGGCTCCAGGGAGTCGAGCTGCAGTTCCGGCTTCTGGTCAACGGCCTCACACACCGTGGCCAAGGCAGCCATGCTAACGACCCTCTGGATTTGCCCGGCAAGGGTCGGCTCCTGGGGGGGAAACGCACCAGACTCTTACTTCATGCGAGCCAGTCTTAACCATGGGGACCCGAGTGCCCTGGCGAAGGATGCCTCCCGCCCGCCTTCCCCTCTCCCTGCCTGCTACCGAACATCAGAGGCAACAAAAGGAAACCTAATACTCCAAGACCATCAGCGTCACCACCTCACGTGGCAGTGAGCAAGCTTAAAGGGGCAATAAAAATTCAGCCGTTCCAACTAAGAAGACCGTCTGATCGCGTCAGTGGGGCGGTGCGCTCCTGGAAGCGGTCTGTGACACAGCGGCTGCCTACTGGACCTCCGCGTGTACGGGAAGCCGTACCTCTCAGCCGTTTTCTTGCTCACGTGCACATTTGGATGCATTTCTATGGATGAGCCTTAACTGTTTGAAGTTTTGTTAAGAAAAAACAAATGAGGCTCAGGCATCACGTATATAACTCCTTTGCCACCTGTACGCTGTGTCTGGAGAAGTGACAGAGCCCAGCAGCTCGGAGCCCCTCACGAGCCTCAGGGATGAGGCTGCGCCCTGGCTCTGCACTTACGACAGTCTGGCTGGGGACACGCTGCAGCACAATGGCACTGCTGGGAGGAGAGGGAGAAGAGAAGAGGCAGCAGAAGACCAGGGTAGACAATAAGGTAGATGGTCAAGGATATGGGTTGCTGGATGTATTAATACACACCATGTGTTATATATTGCATGTGTTATATGTCACATATCACACGTATGTCAGTTGTCATACATGTATTTAGACACGTTAAAGTGTCCCTTACTGGTATTTGGGCAAAGACTCAGTTCAGTGCAAATCCACTAACTGTATCTGAACAGTTTTAAGACTTAAGTCACCATACCTTTGTCATATACCCATAGGAGTCCAAATCTTCAAATATTATGAACAAAGAATACTATCTTAAATTTCAGCTGATGCTTTTCATATCAGAATGTTAATAAATCCAATCTGTATTCTAGGTATGCCTTATTCAACGCAACTACACATCTTGAATAAAGGATTACCTGTCCACTGTCTATCTCTTGAAGATGCCGGATGGATGCATTTTTCAGAGGAGAAATAACTCTCCAAATGGGGTTGCCTCTTTTCCACCCAACCTTCAAATGGGTATTTATAAGCTCAGTTAATACCATCAGGTATAAACGGCAACGATCCAGATCCGAAACCTAAAGGCAAACAATAACACTTAACATGCAGGGTCTGTCATTTTTACTGAACTATGAGAGTTTAGATAGGAAATAAATAACCTTATTTAAAAGTACTAAAATAAGAATTGAGAGAAAAAGTCATTTCCTCCAAGAAGCCCTCCATGACCTCCCCATGCAGAGCTAAGGACCCCTTCTCGGAGCTTACACAGCAACTCTGCATTCAGTGTAACGGCAGCACATGTCAAATCACTCATCCAGCTCACGCTCTGACCACGAGACCCGGGATGTCAGAAACTATGTCCTACCAACTCTTACATCCCAGGGCCAACAGATCCTCAGTAACAATGAGAGCAAGGACTACTGCCTTTGCTTTAGGCAGGTTACGATCCTCCATTATTTCTAGGAAGGTTATGGCCCTATTTTCCTAAGACGACGACTAAGTTTGGGAGAGGTTCAACAGCTCAGCCAGCATCTCAGAGCTGGTAAGTGGGAGACACGGAATTAAACACAGGCGTTTGTGAGTTGGACTTGACGTGGGGTTCAGTCCAGCACTACCACCCGCCAGCTCTGTGACCCAGCCTCTGCAGGCCTCAGATCCCTCATCCACAAAATGGGGAGGGTCATAGCCACCCACTATGGGGTTTTTCAAAGACCTGAGACAAAGTACGGTCAGCAGACTAGCCTTGAGTGGTGGCCCCAGGGATTATCAGTAAACCAACTATTGTATCCTCGACAGGCTTTCAGGACACCAGGAGGCACATGACTCCTGCATTTAATCGGTGTTTACTGAGCGACCACAACATGTTCAGCACATAGCCAGGTGCCAGGACACGGCGCAGATGGGGAGCAACGACCGCGGGGCCTGGTGAAGACGGACTGCCAGCAGTGCAGGCGAGGATCGAGTGCGAGAGAGGACTCCTAAACGTGAGGCTGGATGGCGGCATAGTCCTGAGAAGGGGATGGTAAGGGGGTCAGTTCTGAACGGCTTCAGTGTGAGAAATGCAACTGGAGTTGTCCAAGAGCACCCGGCCGATGGGACGGTGAGCTCGGGAGAGACGGCTGTGGTGGAGACAGAGACACTGGGTCCCCAGCACAGCTGAAGCTGGGGGTACAGCCGAGACCGCCTCGCACGGGAAGAACAGGAAAGAAGAAGGGCCCAGGCCATGCTTTCTACAGCTCCATTGTCTGGGGCTCTCCAGTGGAGAATGCACATTTGAAGGGAAGGTGGGGGTGATGGCAGAGCGATGGGGCCACCCCAGGAGAAGAGGGTGTCAGGGACACTCGGGATGGCTGGTGTTTTGAGGGCAAAGCGGCTGGTGTGTCCAGTAGGGTTGAGGAGTCACAAAAACCATGGTTTGAGGGGCGTGTGGCTGGCTCAGTTGGTTAAGCATCTGCCTTTGGCTCAGGTCATGATTCCAAGGTCCTGGGATCGAGTCCTGCATCGGGCTCCCTTCTCAGTGGGGAGCCAGCTTCTCCCTCTGCCTCTGCTCCTCTCCCTGCTCATGTTCTCGCTCTAGCTCTCTCTCTCACCAAAAAAAAAAAAAAAAAAAAAAAAAAAAAAAACCACGGTTTGAAAAGTATCCATCGGGTTTATAACAAAGGAGTCACTGACTGCTTCAGAGAGAGCCACTTCCAGGCTTGAACAGAGGCAGAAACCAGGTGAGAACGGAGCTGTGGGGTGTGTTTATAGATTCAGCTTACGGGGAGAAGGAAATGAGGAGCTGGAGGGCCCAGGGAATAAGAGAGTGGGTTCCTCGAGATAAGGGACTGTCAAAGCCGTTTGGGGGCTCACGAAAAGAATCCAGGAGACACGGAAAGGCTGAGAACATGAGAGAGAAAGTGGGGGAGAGGGCCGGGAGGCAAGGAAACTGGCAACAGTCAGGTCCTGGAGAGATGGAAGAGGACAGAGGCCACACTCCGCAGCACCCAAGGAGGCCGGGAGACAGGTTCAGAGTGTGGCGGCTGCCGCTCCCTGGGGGGCCGAGGACAGGTGCCCCCAGAGTAGCCTGCAGCAAGCATCAGGGCCCGTCGTCGTTCCCCAATGCTGGGGCCTCATGTCTGTAGCTTGAAGTCAGCCATGGAAATGGACAGATACCACAAACCAGGGCTTTCTTCCCTGAGAGCAGTTATTAAACACAATCAGATGAACCCTTCCCCTTTTTAAAGCTATTTTTAGCATCAAATTCCAAACAACAGTTATGTTCTATAATGGGTATATGGAGGTTCATTATACTTCTTCTGTGTGTGCCTGAAAATTTCCCTAAAAAGGAGGTAAGATAATACTGATGATAATAAAGTGATGTTGAAGCAAAACAAACCAGAAGAGTTACTTATTAAACGACTTCTTGGAAATGTAGGTAGAGCAAAGTCCCGAACAGCTGTTACAGTTGACACGCCCCATGCCAGAGGACTGTTTCTCCACAGGTTCCTGCCTTCCTACCACCACAGCTTAGTGCCTTCAGTACAGAATTTGCCTTTTTGTATTTTCACACCTGCTCACGAGCCTATCAAACACATGTACTTAACTGAGTAGTCTAATAAAAATTAAAATAAGTATATTTTCGTACTTTATTAACAATCTCCTGATTCTAAAGTTTCAACATTTGCCCCTAGAGATTTCAACCCAAAAAAAAAAAAAATTAAGAATAAGCTTTTCTATAAGAATCCGCATTTTCAAAATATTCTTGAGAAAAAGGAAAATTCTTTCTTTTTTTTTTTTTTTTAAACTTCCAGGGCAGTTAACATGCAGTGCTCTATTAGTTTTGGGTGTTCTCAGCTGTCTTGGAACAAAGCACGTGGAGAGTGCAGACGACAGAAAGGGACACTCACCACAGACCGACTACTATCTACTCTGTGTTCCGGAATTGCTTACGGAGCTTTAGAAACAGACCCGAGCTAACACCTGGTCCCGCCCCAACCCTGCCAAATCCCACTCTCTGGACGCCAGGACCAAACACCTGAATGCCCGAAGCACCCCAGCGAGGTCAGACCCCTCAGACCTCTCGGCCCCGGCCGAGTGCATGTATTACCTCCACTTTGTGGATGAGAAAGCTGAGACTCAGAAAAGCTGCCTGACTCTCCCAAGGAAGGCCTCAGTGTGACCCGGAGGAATGGAACGAGGAGACTCCGAATCCTAGAGTTTTTTCTGCTTCCCAAGGCAGCTTCTCCAGAAAATATCACATTGATTTTCTCAATTTCATACAGTGCCTGCCAGTAGGTAATCCCTCAAATACGGACGAGAAGAAGGGAAAGTGACTCCGTCAGTACTTACACTACTGAGTTCATTCATGGTAAGCCGTCGGAGGATAAAATCAGAAACGCTCTCAGTAGCAGACATGGCAAAGCTCTGGAGAAGTGTGAACACCTCGTCTGTATGGGGGAAAAAGCGTGTAACTGAAATGACAGAAATGTAAGTTACCTGGTACAAAATATGCCAGATTTTTTAGTAAAAGTACAACTCTGTTAAGCATATGCCACGAATCACTTACCAAAAATGAATCCCAATAATGAACAGTCATTAGTACCATAGGGCAATCTATAATCCACCTTAAAAATCATTTAGGAGTTTTAGTTCTGGCTAAAATGGAACAGGGGCAGCCAGCCTCTCCCTATAAAACTAGACAGAAGATCCGAGCGTCTACGCAGAGACCGTAAAAGGTACAAAGCAGCCGACAGGTTCAGAGAGCGTAACACCCAACAGCAGCGCATCCGTCCAGGCCCTCTGCAGACTGACACCCCGCGCAGGGCAGCACAGAAGTGGGCAGCACAATGGGCCCCAACTTTCTGATTAGACAGTGGAAAAGGGGGAACCCCAGAAAAGCAGACAATGAGCTCTTAAGAGGTTCCAGAGGGTCAGACGCTTGGGAAAAGGGCCCCAGAACGTGGTTTGTCAAGCACCGGGCTCCCTGCAAGCTGGTATGCCTGGACCTGCCAGCAGGAAGCAGCCCAAAGACTTTCCGAACCGATCGAAGGGAGACAGCGGCCCAGGCTGCACGCTGGCCCCCGGAGGGATGACGGGTGGTGTGGGTCAAGACAGCTCCGCACGCTGACGGTGGAAGCAACATGCACAGGAGCTGGGACGTCGGGGATGAAGGCCTAACCCTAAGCTGAGCGTCTGTTACACAAGAGAATCAACTTCTCCACGGGATTTAAACATGACCTAGAGTCTCATGACATAGAATTCAAAATATCTAGGATTCAATCCAAAATAACTGGGCACGTGGAGCATCAGAAAATTCCTAGCTCACAAGGGGAAAGACAGCCGGCCAACGCCAACAGTGAGATGATGCCAACCCCAGAAAAACCTGATTCCAAACAGCTAATGGTAAAAACGCGTCAGCAATCAATCAACACACCCTCTCGGAACATACAGGAAAACAAAGGCTCAGCAAAGAAATGTAAGATACACACAAAAACCAAATGGGAATTTTGTAACTGGTAACTATAAGGACTGAAATTTTAATAACTCACCAGATGGAAACTGCAACAGAAAGGAGAAGCAGGAAAGGAGTCAGTGAACTTAAAAACATATCAACAAAATAAATTATATGCAGCATGACATAGTGTAACCAAACCGCTGAAAACTAAACACAAAGAAACAATCTTGGAAGCAGAGGAAAACAGCACATCATGTAGGTGGAGAACACACTGAATGACTACACAATTCTAATGAGAAACCACGGCAGCCAGAAGCGAATGGAATACGTTTAAATTGCTGAAAGAAAAGACCCGTCAAACCAGAATTTTATATCCAGTGAAAATAATCCTCAGGTGAAATAAAGACATTCTCAGATGAAGGAAAACTAAGAAAATTCACTGTCAGCAAACCTGTTCCAAAAGAAATGGTAAAAGCTGCTCTTCAAACGAAAGGCATAGGTGCCCCAGGAAAACAGGGGACGTCAGGGATGAAAGAAAAGCAAAAGAAACTGCAAACATCTAGGGAAATACAATAGGTTCTTCTCTTGTGATTTTTAAAATCTCTTTGATGGTTGAAAGCAAAAATTGTAACACTGGTAGTTTTTAACAAACGTAGATATAAGACAACTATAATACGGGGGGTAAAGGTTTGGGCAAAGGAGTCCATACGGTGGTAAAGTTTCTACATCCATTTCAAGTGGTAAAACATTAATTCTAAACAGATTGAAAAGTTAGGTGTGCATACTGTGGTCCCTAAAGCAATCGCAAACACACACACACACACACACACACACACACACACACACACACACAGAGTATTAGATATTTAGTAAAAAACACAATAGGTAAATTAAAATGGAATACAGTTGGGGCTCCTGGGTGGCTCAGTGGGTTGGGCCTCTGCCTTTGACTCGGGTCATGATCTAAGGGTCCCGGGATCGAGCCCTGCATCGGGCTCTCTGCTCAGCAGGGATCCTGTTCCCCCCCAACCCCTGCCCGCCTCTCTGCCTACTTGTGATCTCTGTCTCTCTCTCTCTCTGAAAAATAAATAAGTAAATAAATCTTTATTTAAAGAAAATGGAATACAAAATAATGTTCAAACTGCCCAAAACAAGCCAAGAGAGGGAAAGACAGAAATGAAAAACAAAGGGAATTGAATAAAAAAAAAGACTGGAATCAAAACATATATGTAATTATATTAAATGCAAATAGTAAAAAATCATGACCCAGTTATGCTATCAGAAATTTGCTTCAAATACAACAATCTAAATAGAATAAAAGTAAAAAGCTAGGAAATACTACTATGCAAACTCTAATTAAAACAAAGTGAGAGTGGTTACGTTACTACCAGACAAAGCAGACTTCAGAGTAGAATAACCGGGATAAAAAGGGATACTGCATTAAAAAGGAAAGTCAACTCAACAAGAAAACGCACTATCCTAAACACACAGGCACCTAACAACAGAACTGCAGGACAGGAAGCCAAATAATAAAAATAGAAAGAGAAAGAGATAAACCCAAACTCAGAGCTAGAGACTTCAACACTCCTCTCTTAGTAACAGAGTAAACAAAAAACAGCAAGGACATAAAACTGAAAAATACCATGAAAATCTTGGATCTGGTATTTATAGGACGCTCAACCCAACTACAGAGTACAAGGTGTTTCCGAATGCGCATGGAACAGTATACACTTGATCATAAATAACCCTTAATGAAGTTTCAAAACCTGAAACTCTACAAAGTATGCTAACTAGAGTCAAATGAAAAATAACAACAGAAAGATAAGAAGGAAATCTCTAAACACACTTCTAAGTATTTCGAGAGTAAAAGAGAGTTCCTCAAGAAAAGTTAGAAAATACTTTGAACTAAAATACAACATACCAAAAGTTTTGGGATTAAATTAAAGCAAAACTTAAAAAATTTATAGCACTACAGGTCATTTTCAAAAATAAGATCTAAAATCAACAACCTAAACTTCCCCCTTAACTTCATTAGAAAGGCAAAATAAACCAAAAGCAAAGCAGACAGAAGCAAACAAAGACAGAAATCAATGAAACTGAAAAAAAAAAAAAAAAATCAATGAAAACCAAAAGCTGGTATTTTGAAAAGGTCAGTAAAATTCATGAACCACTAGCTGGTCTTAAGAGAGGCAGAGATAGAGAGGATACAAATTATCACTGACCCCCGATGCTGCACACATTAAAAGGAGAAGGGATTATCATGGACAATTCTAGAAATATAAATATTCCATCTCTAAAGAAAGATCCCAAGGATTCTATTTAAAACCAATGAACAAATAAACAAACAAAACAAAAAACCTCTCATAACAAGAGCTTCAGCGAGGTCAGAGGATACAAGGTCAACACATGAAAATCAATCACATTTCTGTATACTGGCCATACACAACTGAAAACCAAAATTTTTAAAAAATTGATCACATACTTGGGCACAAATCTAATAAAACCTGTACAGGATCTATATGCTGAAAACTAAAAAGCTCTGATGAAAAAAATCAAAGACACCGTATGTAAACTGAGAGACACACTATGTTCATGATCAAAAGTCTCGGTATAATAAAGGCAATTCTCCATAGATTAATCTATAGATTTAATGTGATTTCAGTCAAAATTCCAGCAGGATTTTTGTTTCTTGTAAATACAAGCTGATTATAAAGTTTATATGGAAAGGCAAAAGAACTAGAATATCCAGAAATAAGAATTTGAAAGAAGCATCCTACCCATTTAAAGAGTTATTGTAAATCTACAGTAACCAAAACAGGGTGGTGCTGGCCAAGGTATCAACATATAAATCAACAGAATAGAAGAGAGCCCAGAAGTAGAGCCACACAAATACGGCCAGTTATTTTTAAACAATGTTACTGATATAATTCACGTGACACACTTCACCCATTAAAAGCATTTAATTCAATGGTATCTAGGACAGTCACAGATATGTGCAGCTGTCACCAGAGCCGACTTTTTAGAACACTTTGGTCACCACAGAGAGAAACCCCATCCCCTCTGAGCATCACCCTCACAAGCCTACGCCCCCTCCCTGCCCTACACAATCACTAATCCTTTCTCGGTCTCAGATCTGCCTCTTCTGGACGTGTCATATAAATGGAATCATATAATATATGGTCTTTTGTGACTGGTTTCTTTCACTTAAGCTGTTTCCAAAGTCCGTCCACGTTGTGGCATGTATCAGTAATTCATTCCTTTTCATGGCCAAATATAGCTACATCCCATCATTTATCCATTCATCCATCCAACTATTTTGGATTATTTCTGCCACACCTAATTAAATGTTTTTTGTTTTGTTTTGTTTTTTTTTGCAACAGTACAAAACTACAGAGAGAGGATAGTCTCAACAACAAAATAATGCTGAAAAACTGGATATCCACAGGCAAAACAAACAAAAAACCAAAACCTCAACCTAAACTTTACACCTTAAAAATTAACTCAAAATGTATCATAAATCCAAAAATAAAAATATTTAGGAGAAAATAAGAGAAAAGCCTACGTTACTTGGGGTTAAGGCAAAGGTTTCCTAAATAGGATACCTAATGCATAATCAATAAAACTAAAGAAAAAAGCAAACCGGACTTCACCAAAATGAAAACTTTTGCTCTACAAGAGACACTTAAACTGACAAGCCAAGCTAGACCGGGAGAAAATATTTGTACATCCCATATCCAACAAAGGACTTGTATCCAGACTGTATCATGAATTCTCATTGTATCTATTTCATCCAAGTGTATGAAAACAAAGAACTCAATTTTAAAATAGGTAAAAAATGTGGACACCTTGCAAAGTGTGATATCTATCTCTCTTAGAAATGTTCATTTTTTTTAAAAGATCACATAGCATTCAAAATTACAGAATTTAAAATTTTCAAGTTACTTACTGTAGACACACTCCTATGTGGCCTCTGAAGTAGGTCAAAAATCACTT